GCTGCATGACCATAACCGTGACAGGGTGATTTAAAGTCACATTTACACACACATGAACACACACACATACACACACATTCCCTCCTCTCTTATCTTCCTTGGTTTTCCAGTCAAGTGAATCTACAGCGTGTTAGTCATAATTCCTTACAGCCACCTATAGCTTCTGTCCTGTAACCTTCACTGACTGTCGCTGCTGTGACAGCTAATTATGTGGCCGAGATTTCAGGGCAAGAAGGAATTAATATGAACTTCTCCTTAAATATGTTGTCCTGCCTTTCTGATGAGTAAAAGAAGGAACTTTGGTCAAACACTTAAAGGTCCTATGTGTATGATTCAGGGGAATATATTGGCAGAAATTGTATATAAGAATATGATAATAGAATTGTTGTGTTTTTGTGAGCTTAGTATGAGTTCATATCTACATATGGAGCAGGTCCTCTTCCACAGAGTCCACCATGTTGTTTCTACAGCAGCCCAGAGCAGACAAACCAAATACTGGAGACAGGAGAAGTTTCACTTGGTTGCAATCTGAAACCTCACCACTAGATGCCATGAGATCCTAAACATTAGACCTTTAAACCTTTTTAAAGAGAGTATTCAATAGGACTGTACCTGAGTCAGAACTATGGCAGTGGAATCAGATTTGGCTGTTTAATGAATGTTCAACTATTTGTTCCTTTTTTCCATACAGAGTTTGAGAGTTTGAACTGGGTTCAGTGGGACATTCGGTGTGGCAGTGACAATCACTTGCGCTGACAGTGAATGGCTAATGTGGAACTACATTTTTTGCCACTGCTAGATATCAAACAAAAGCCAGAGTCTGAATCATATTAAGCCGCAGCAAAATCTGGTCAAAAACAAAACTAGTGCACTGCAAAGCACACCCACTAGCAAAAAACAACAACAACAAAAAAAAAAACACTGCTCGACTTGAACCAGTCTCATTTGACTGAGGCGTCTCCAAGTGATGATTAATGGATGTAGCCACCGTGATGTCAACCATTGGTTTGTGGACTCAAGTTTGGCATTTTTGCATTTGCCGTCTGGGTTTTTTGAAGCCAGATGTGACCATATTTGGATGAGGAGATGGAGAAGTAAGAGGTGAATCGGAATCATAGACTGTGTATAGTGTGTATAGTATAGTCAGGTGTATAGTATAGTAGTATAATGGGGTGTTTAAACATGGGGGTCTACGGAGATTGACTCACTCTTGGAGCCAGACTCAGGTGACCATTCAAGGAGGTCCAATTTTTAGCACTTCATTTTTCAGCCCTAGAGTTTGACGCTTGGTTGTGCACTTCCTTTTGTTCTGCATGTATGCACAAATGTTTTCTGTTTATATTTTATGTTACTATGTATATTAACCAATTAAAGAAAAAAACCTTGGCTTGAAGAGTGGAGGAACATAACATGTAGATGCTTCCATGCAGGTGTGCTGTCGGTGCTGTGTTTGAACTATACCATCAAACAATATTTTGCTCATTGACATAGAAATGCTGTGCATGCCCTCTAACTGAATACTTGGTGGTAGACAGCGCTCTCCACCACCATCATCAAAATGCCAAATGAGGGAACATCTTTAGAGATAATGATGTTCATCCCTCCAGCAGAGTTGAGAGACTGCCAAAAATCTGTGTCAAGCAGCCTGGAAGCTGCGCTGGAGGCTAATATTGGCCCGGCACCTTTAAGCTGCCCCAATCAATAATGATAGCGATATCGCTTATAGTGAATTATTACCAGACTCTGTGGTTGCTCTCGGCTCTGCTGAGCATTTTGAAGTCTTTCAGTTCATTGTTTTGTTTTATGGCCCATTTTACACAACATGCTCAGCACCAAACAGCAGACAGACACAGTTAGAGGTTAAATGGTAAACATGGTGGAGTATTTAGTAGCTGAAGAGCCAGGTATTTCCCTCAGAAGATGAGACCTAAACAGAGCTAAAAGGAGAGTCAATATTGGACGTCCATCCAGACAGAGAGCTACAGGTTCTGACCTACATGGAGCAGAGGCATTTCTCAAAACTTCAGGCAAGGAATTTAAACATGATAGAAACTGCATTTGGAATTTAATTTCACAGTCTGTGAGTGCTGTTGGTGTTTTCAAATGCATACCTACAGACTGTAAAAAAAAGATGGCATCATTTGCGCTGTAGTTACCACCAACTCTGAAGACACTAATAATTTTACTGTATCTACATGTGGCTATCAGCGCTGATCTTTGTGAATTGGACCATTTTTGCAGTGAAGCTTATTTGCATAGACAGAGGCCGATTTTGCACTGAATGTATGTATATAACCAATTTAAATATGTACAAATAACACAGGAGCACTGAGACGCTGTTTGCTTGGCAGTGCAGTTGGGGGTGGGTTTCATTCTGTGCAAGTGCTTTGAGAATTAAAGGCCGTCCACACCAAGAACGATAACTAGAACGATAACTATAAATTTAAATGGTCAACAATAGCATTGTGTAAACAGTGGCACCAAGCACGTGCTGCGCACTCCACCTGTGATGACCTGTAAATTTCTGATGGATTTTGGTTGGCTGTCAGTATTTCTATTGTTCATCAAATTCCTGTGAAAGTAATAACAATAACAATATTACTTGCCACTGTTATCCATTATAGTTGTGGTGTTGACTCCGCCGTCCACTTGAGTTAGAGCGATTTATGAAACGTATGTCCCTGCTCTCTCTCTTCTCTGTGTTGTAAACCATGTCTAAAATGTAAATTCATATCTTGTTTTGGGGGGTTTGCCTGGTCACTCTTTGAACTTCAGTAAATTACTGACTAAAGCAGGTTGGGAAAAGATGAGTGCAAACCAAATAACCAAAAGAGCATACAGTGGAATACAACAGATACTAAACAACAGAGTTAGAGCATCCACAGATGGGTGTCTGTACCCTCCTTTCTCCCCCCTGCTGCTTCTGTCACATGTTGCAGGAATACAAGTAGCAGAACTCTAATGTGACCTTTGCTAGTGATAAATATGTGGCTGTCTGCTGGAGTATAGAGTAAAGAGCAGCACTCCTATTTAATCTTTTTTTTCTTACAGTACAAATGCTTTGGGCAAGATGCCCTTTTACAGCATTAATTTAAGATAACAATGTTATAAAGCATAGTGGCTGCAAGAGACTTCTGGCTTTATGGGGAAATTAGATTGCTCTGCCCTGGTGGGCTTTCATTCTGTTACTGCCTTTAATAGTTGAGCTGACTCTATAACCCTAAAAAGGGGAGTTAGAGCGGACGAATGAATTTTCTGGACTTCCCACATTTCAATTATTCATCATTCAGACGGAGAAATCAGAATGAGAACAAAGCAGGGAAAATGGAAGGAGTAAAGAAGAAACAGATGAGTAATGAGTTATCAAAAGATGAAGAGATTTACTGAGACTGAAAAAAATAAGCTCTAAGAAAAAGTCACAGAAATGAGGCAGGTAGGCTTTCCTGTAATTTGCGGTTTAAAGCACTCCACCTGAAAGTGAATCACTGGTCGAGTTGAGCTGCTGGAGATGTGATGAATCATGAATCAAAAGCTAAGAATATGTTCTGCAGTGAAGCTTGAGCAGCGTGTGCTCAAGTGATTCAGCTTTTGATTGAGGAAGAGCAGCAATGAAAGTGTGGATTTGAGAGACTACAGGTTAAGGAGGGAGTGAAATGAAAGATGATTGCAGGCACGAAGAAAAGAAGAAAAAGAGAAGTGTGGGTTTGACACCGAAGGAAAATCAGAGGAATGTACTGTGTGTACTTCCAGTCTCTTCACCTTTTTTTTGGTCTTGTTCTTTTATTCCTCTCCCCTCCCTCACCCTTCCCCCTTCTCCTCTTTTGAAAGCTGCTGCAAGGGATGGTGTTAAGCCACTTCCATCCCTCCGTCCAAAGCTAATGTATTTCCCTTAAATATTTCAATATGCTCCTCCTCTGTTCTGCAAGGTTGAGTACAAGCTCTCCCTCAGCTGGCGCCCACAGAGGCGCACTGCCACTGATAAAACCCTGCCAGGGGTTTGATGTCTCAGAGTGCTCAGAGAAGTGCTGAAGACTGGCATAAAAAAGAGGGAGAGATAAGGGAGGATGTGGGAGGACTGCAAGACGGGGATATAGATTATTGATCGAGGAAGATACATCAAATAACCAATGGGTGTTGTGTGACCGTGCATTTTTTTATTTTTACGCGTGCATTTACAGCACTTCCTGCGCAGATGTAGAACAGCAGGCTGGCTGATGCAACATGGAGCAAACTTGTGTTGCTCGTCAGATGTGGTTCTGCTCTGCGAAATCTGGCCTGACAGGCTCTCCAGTGAAGCACACAGACAAGCACAAAAGGCCTAGGAGCAAAGCCGATCCACACGTGGAAATAATACCTGAAAAATCAATTTCAAGCTTTAAGAGCTGTTGTGTAAGACAATAAAACTTGTGTATATCTGTGTGTACTTTCTTTAAAAAATTGTACAAAGACACATCCAGCATTGGCAGCAGGAGCAGCGAGTGAAGCCTTTATGGTTCAATAATTTCAGTTCTTCATTACAGTCTATACCTGCGTTCTCTGATCCTTTACTTCCTCTCCGTCTTTCTCTCCATCCCTCCATCGCCCCATCACTCCTGCCATTATATGTATTTCACGGCAGCCGTCATGGGGCAGGACCTAGAGGAAATTAAAAATCTTTGTTGCTTTGTTGCTCTCCCCTGTGGGTGGGCGGACGTCAATAAAGTCTTGTATTATGGGTTGCTGCGTACACTCACACAAGAGACGTACTGTACTTAAGATAAAACAGCATACACACTTACATTCACACATGCTGCACTGTAGGCTATACATTTACTCAGGGTGACAAATACGCATACAGACAGTATATCAATTAACCTTGGGGTCAGTCAATGATGTGTGTGTGTGTGTGTGTGTGTGTGTGTGTGTGTGTGAGACCCAAGTTGCTATCATCTGTCTGGTATCGATGGAAACTATAACGAAGACAAATATTGATGTGCTCTTTGTTCTCATATATGTTCTAGTTGCAGAACCAGTAACCGTAAAAGCCTCATCCTGACCAGTACGTCGCCCACCCTGCCACGGCCGCACTCTCCACTGCCTGGACACATAGGTCAGTGTATAAAAGTTAAACACATGATACAGTGGAAGAATAAACAGTATACCAGTCACATTATTTTAAGTTTTTTTTTCTTCAAGTTTGAGTTTTTTCTCATCTGAAAATTACAGAGCTAAATACAGTATAAATTGACAGTGTATTTTTGCAGCAGGAAATAAAACAGCTTTTGGGTTCATTAGGACATACAATCTGGATGAAAGTAGGTTTGAACTGATCCTCCTCTGTACATAAAATCTTTCCATTTGAGTTTTTGTGTTTTTGTGTCAGCCACTATAGTTAGAACCCCTTCGCAACTTCGCAACAAACAGCACAAAATACTGATATGTAACGTGAAACTGCTTTATTCAGTGTATTTACCAGTTTTTATCACCTGGTCTGTTTGTTTTAAAGAGGAAGAGACCTTTGCAGATAAGTAAGCTCCCAGTAAAGACCTCCTAAAGAGCAAACAATGAATGAAACAATGAAACAATGAATTCCTAACTGTGATTTCATGCTTGGCACATGGGAGAAGTTTCAGCTGTAATCAATCTGCAATCCTCACAACTAGATTCCACTATATCCTACACACTGCTACTTTAAAGATCAATTAAAAGTCTCCTTTAATTATTATATTCTCACTTTGCTGCAGTAATGTAGATGTCTACTCGAGGATGGGTCAGTACCATAGAATGTATAAACAGATGGGCAATGTGTCTCCAATTCTTCCCACTGTAAAGTGAAGCCAAACCCAGGATATGGGTGCTGCTGTCTGGTGCTGGTGAGGTCATTTGGAGTCAGAGTCTGCACAGTAGCGATCGGGATGTGGAGCTGCGGTATCATCTGCCTGACCAAACTGCAGGCAGCAACACTGAACGCGAACATGCCTGTTGTCACACACAGCTGTCGAACATGACGTCAAACTCCTTGGAAAATATTTGGCATGTACTTAGATCTTTTCTTTGGCCCATGTTTATGATCCATGCTACTGCCAGCCACTATAATGGCTATGGTGCTGTTTTGGCTTCACTTTTGGGGAGTTGTCATGCCGCCCACCTTTACATGTAGTCATTGGTCAGGACTCTGTGACATCACTAATGCAGTGGCCTTAAGGACGGTCAAGAGTGCCATAAGATCAGCAAGCTACAAATGTCCGAGTCACTGTATTCAAAGCTCACAGTAGCCAGTTGTCATAGTAACGCAATAATCTTCTATGCATGTGAGGTATTGAGATGCACAGCAATGACAAATGCTGACAATGACAGGCAAGATTTATCACTTTATACAGAGCTCTAACTCAAACAAATGCTGATTCATCTTCAGCCCTCAGCACACTGAGGCAAATGAACCTGGGTGCCATGAAAAAAAAATCACTCTGGACATTATACTGTTGTATAAAAATGTTTTGGCACTACACTACACTAGAGATCAGCAAGAGCAAGATTTTCAACTGGTGTTGCTCTTTCACTTAATGTTTAATTTATTAATACCGTGGTTTCATACTGTAGGACAGAATTAAGGATAAAATACACTGTTATTGTAGGTGTCACATTGAATATACACAGAATTCAATGTTTCCTCAAACGTGAGGCTTAATAAATTAAATGGAAATGACTTTTTTATATATTATCCTGCCTAGTAACCCACATTGTATGTATTTTTTGTGTTCTGTCCATATATATTTTAACAGGAAGCAGTCCGTTGGACAGCCCGCGCAACTTCTCACCAAGCGGACCTGCCCACTTTTCCTTCGCCTCCTCTCGCAGGTTGGCATCCCTCCTTTATTCACACAATAAGTCACACATACACCGTTACAAGAGCGGTGCGAAATAGTTGAGTGAAATTGCTGGTAGGATTATTTTTACACTCACTCACATACACAGTGAAACTCTTCAGGGAACACACCTACTCACACACACAAACATGCAAAATGGAACTGCATGCCACAGCCCTGACTTTGTCCCATGCTGCTCCAACCAAGTGTCCGTGTGACAGAGGGTTGACAGCGGGCTCAGATGAATGAAGCGAGGTGCCAGGATTTTGCCCAAACGTGTATCCCTCATCACTCACTCAGACGTAGTGTCAGACATGGCTGGAGACGGCCTGAGGGGAGAGAGGAATAGAATGAACAAAAGTATAATTGGATAGAAAGGAAGTGAAGGTGGTGGGATTGCTTTAGTATAACTGTGTTGTCTCGAGGGACTAAAATAGAAACCGATATTGGAGTTCTGGCAGGGGAAAGTGATAGAGAAAACAGTTCTTGATTCTAACATATGTTCTCCCTTTTCCACTTTTACTTATTTTTTCCTCAGGGCTGATGGTCGTAGATGGTCCTTGGCTTCTCTGCCTTCCTCAGGATATGGCACCAATACACCCAGTTCAACGGTGAGTTTAAGAGGAAGTAGACAGCCACATACCCAGAGCTCTTATGCAATAATCCTATTTTTCATTTATTTTTCAGTGTTGTGGCACATTTTGTCCTCCTAAGGACAAAGAATAGTAATCAAAGATTTCCTAAACTACCAATCATATACTGATTTCCAATCCGATACCATTGTTTTGTTTAACCAAATTTAAATTCTGTGTACCTCACTGTGTGAAAACCATTGTAATAATTTTTATATGAGGCAATGTGAGGCAACCCAGTCACCAGAATAAATGTTGGCAATGTATGTTTCTGCAAACAAGAGATATGTGACATTTGTACGTTTCATATGTGGCGGAGATGTTGAAACTTTGTGTTTCTTTATGTTTCAATTTTATGTTGTGACAAGGCTGTGGTTAACATGTGGTTATATTAGGCACATTATTATATAGGCACAAAACTCACTTAGAGTTAGGCTTTGGAAAACATCGTGTTTTCTTTTGTCACTATAAACACACCTGCTTTTGCTGTTCTCCAACAGTGGTCTACTCCTGTCTGCTGCTTGTCAGCTGTCTCATGAAGGTGTCACACCATCCACCATCCCCTCATCTTCCTGATGAGGAAGTCAGATCACACACGTGTAATCTGAACAACATCATACATATGAAATGTACAAATGATATACATTTGTCGTTGGCAGAAAAGTACACTGCCAACATTTGATCCTGGTGACTGGGCTATATGAGGACTATGATTGCTGTGCCACTAAAACAATGACTCAATGACTCACTGTGACTAAATGACTGTAACTGACTGCTGAAACACTGATTAACTGTAATCAATGTGGCTCTGTTAAGTCGCAGCCAGTATGCAAACCATTTGTAACAGCGCTGAAGGTACATTCTATAGTCAACGTTTGATGGACCTATCAATATATATTTGTAGCCTTTATGACAGATATTTCAGAGCAGTGATCATCAATATGTCCACATGAGGCGTCTTCGGCTCAGGTGGTGGAGCAGGTTGGCCATTAATTATGAGGTTGCGGCTCAGTTCCTGTCGCTGAAGTATCCTTGAGCAAGACATTGATTGAACCCCAAATTGTTCCAAGTGTATGTGTGTGCAGGGTTTCCCACACATTCATTTATTTGTGGTGGACCGCCACAATATCAGCACTCGCTGCCACACAGATTTTCTGTGCCTTTATTTATTAGAACAACAGCCCTCTTAATTAAACCTACTGTCGATGAAACTGGTTGAATTCCCATGAAAAGCATTCTCCCCACGGTCCGGTGCTGTGTTACAGGTTGCTTTCCTCCACCTCTGCAGCAGCTACTCCTCTAATACATTGATCTGATTTGATCAGCTCTGATCGATTCAACCTCAGACTGATCGAAAAGAAGACTTGAATGTGATGATAAAACATCACATTGAGAGTTGTTTCTTAATTCTCCTCTCCACAACTCAAACTAAACAAACTGCAGCTGAGAAAAAAATCATGACGAGTTCCACCTGAGCTGCATTCAAAACCTCCAAACTTAGAGAGGAGACACTGAATGATCACGAAGGGACACACACAAAAAAAGTTTGCTCAGCCTCCCCCTCCCCCACATCAGCTACCAATACACGTAGAACCTGTTTATGTGGGAAAAACTGGTATGTGAAAGAAAGTGAGTTGCTTGGCACAAAAGCATCTGCCAAATCAATGTTATGTAACATTTTGAGAGCCTGCATCAGAGTAGGTGTATGTTTTCTTTAAGTTCTCTACCAACATAACTGTACACCACAGACGTGACTGCAGCAGCAGCAACTTTTCCTTCATCTATCGTGTATTATTGCAGCAGCAGCCACTGCACCTTATGCTTCCTCAAATGTAGGATAGAGCTGACTAAGTGTGTCCATGTAACACAAAACTTGTGACTGACAAACAGGACACCAAAGTGTTGCAGCAGTCTCCTGAAAAGTCCCCTGAAGTGAAAAAACAAGGCCTCTGGTGACTGTTGCACAGTTTTCACAGAGAGCCTCTTTCATGTTTCCCCTCTCCATGGCGTGACAAGTAAAACCTCATAAGGATCAAACACTTCCTTTCATTTCCAGTTTTACCAGAGAAACAGGAGAAAAGAAACACTTAAGTATGGGTCTGCTTTTTCTTCTCTTGAAAAATCAACACCCAAAACTCCATTGCTAAATTGATGAGGTGGGTTTTTGTATCCCTTTCATGAATATGTATCTCACTGAAAGAACCTATTTGCATATATTTTTCATGCATAAAATCTGCTTGTAAATTCATGTTCTAAAAGTTGCATGTTCTACTTTGGTCTGGCTCCGCTTTGAAATGATTACACGCCACACTTGCAGCTAAATGCCATGCATACACAAACACATACACGCCCCTGTGCTCTCTGACTTTGTACTCGCTGCTGTGAGTCTCAGCCGATTATTTAAAAGCATTCGAGCACAGAAGAACATGCATCACATGTAAACCAGAACTAAAAATAACTCATCAGTTGCTAAGATATGATCGACCTGATTTTTCTGCAGCTGATGACTTGGCCTTCCTGAAAAAAGTGGAACAGGGATAATGGAAATGAAATGTAACCAATCTGTAAGTCTTCCCTGTTCCAGTAACTATTTCTCCATCCATCACTTTATCTCCAGAGAAGCTGAGGTGGATGGTTAAGAGGGGCAACAGAGACAAATAAAATAGAGTGTAGGTGGAAGTGAAGCTTGTTTTGAAGCAAATATAGGGACAACAACAATGTTCACTTCTGTCTGAGTGGAGCGTGAGAGACTACTCAGAGAAATGAACCCTGCCGAGGCCCATTTGGCAAATAGTCCATTTGAGAAATGGACCTTAATGTGTATGACGCTCAGGTGGAGGCAAGGTGTTGACTCATAATCCACCCCCTGTACACTTCTGTGCCATCTCAAACACAATCACTTCCTCTGTGTCTTTGCTGCTTTTCACACATCATTTCTCTCGTTGACTTCCTCTTCACAGCAGCACCTGTAGAGAGACATACAGTACACTGCAGGAGACTCATTGATCTCTTTTTACCAGTAGATGAGTTTGAAGATGGTTTCTCAGTCTCCATGCTCCTCTCCACCTCTATCACCTCCATCACTCCTCTGCCCCCCTCCATCCCGTCAGGTTTCAGTGCTCTGCTAGTTCTTACATGGGCCATTACTCGCTTGATTAGTTACAGCAGGACCCTTGCATACTGAACAGAGCAGATGAAAGGAGGAGATGTGTGTGTGTGTGTGTGTGTGTGTGTGTGTGTGTGTGTGTGTGTGTGTGGGAGTTTCATGTATGAAGAAGTAGATAAGAACCAAATTTATGCAGGAAAGCTGCAGAATAGTGAACAGTTAAAAGTGGAGGCCACACAGGATAGAAGATAGATAAAGTACAACGGATTAAACCTTAGGGGTGAAAAAGCCTGTCAACTGTTGGCACAACTCAGTTCTAATTTCCCTTTGTTGGAAATCTGTGGTGTTGGACGCTGCAGCTGATCAGGCTGTTCTGACAATGCTTCACCACAAAACCACAATATTTTATGATGAATTTAGGTTATTAAATAAACTAAATTCATCATCCAACTAAAACGGACAACAAATCATCATATAACAGTTCATATAATAACTTACAAAAGTGCACATACAGCGGTTTATATGGTATTTTTCAGACGCCCCTTGAAATATCAAGTTTACTTGATTTTACACGGTTCCAAACACTAGTCTACTACAGGAAAATCCTGTGTTTTGTGACCCATTGACACCCCAACCTGTCTCTTTATGCTGACGACTTCTTTCTTCACTTTCATCAGTGCATTGGTCACATGATTGCAGCCCTCCCGATTACGCGGGTTATACACTGGTTTGTGATTACGTGGGCTGTATACCAATTCTGGTGTAATAATTTTCGTAGGCATATGTACAAACACTGCATGAGAACAAAAGCTTGCTCAGGACCCAAGGAAGTGCAGTGCTGAGTACAAGGGTGTTTGGATGAGCCATTCTCAAAAACCTTCAAACAATAATACAATAGGCTGTGTAAAAATAATTTACACAGCCACATCACCCAATGGTTTGTGAACGCTCATTTTGAAGCTTCAAGTCTGACATTTTGACTGTTGCCATCTTGGATTTTTGGAGGCAGAAGTGATCACATTTGGATGAGAGGGTGGGGCTGTTGAAGAGTAAGGGGTGGATTTGACTCATACACTGTGGTGATGCCTCGCAGACAGCCTGTGACTCAAAGTCACAGGCTCAAACATGTGTATTGTTAAGTGTTAATAAAATGAAAACAGGTGAATTATATAAAAATCCGACCCCAGCACAGTTGTCATGGTGAGGTAAATTAGCAAGACAGAACAAAAACTTTTTTTTAACCAGGCTGTGAGCATGTTTATTTCTGCTGTAAACATTCTCTCTGTGGGAATCGACTTGGATTTGGAGCCAGCCTCAAGTGGCCTTAAAGGAACTGTAGTTTTTGGCACTTCCACACTGGCTTAATTTTCGAGCCCCAGAGTTTGTCCCTTTAGCAATAATGGAAGCCAAGCAATCAGCTCGTTTTGAGCAGGCATGTTTTGAATGGGCCCTGCACGAGTCAGCTGACCTGTGTGAACTGTAGGTCTGATAAACAAAGGAACAACTTCCATCATTCATCAGACAGGCGTTTCTTTTATGATCTCTCTTTCCCTCTTTTTTCTTGAAAGTCTGTCTGTTCTACATGAAACACATTTTCTATTGCTGTCATTTTCATCAGATCACATGCAACACTGAAAATCCCTGTGTGCCAAGGAGAAGCTAAAACCTCCATCCAATCTTTTCTACAAGTAATGAGACACTCCCATCATAACCTTTATTGTTAAATAATGGATTTGCAAATAGAAATGCCGATGCAAATAATTATTGAATATGCTTTTTAAAAAACATGTTACATCTGCAGAAATGGCTCTTAAACATTCAGTGTCTGGGCAGTGAGGTCCATTTACAGACTGTGACTAGATCTCTCACATCTTTTGTCATGTGGGAGGAAACAAGAAAAAGTTTAATAGTGCTAGAAATGGTGACTTTACATCCTTATTTTGTTATTAGTGCATATACATGTACTAAAAATACATTTACATAAAGATGCCTTTTGATGCCTTTTGTGTAGGCTTATATATAAAAAAGGCATCAGAAGACAACAGAGGTGATCCAGCTGTGGCACCATCATCGTAAAACTGACTTCAGATGATGACGGTTGTCTAAAAAACATGTTTCCTCGCGTCCTATTTCCTCACATGTTTTCCTTGCATCTCTCATCACATATTCAGTGACAGGGACGAAGACGCAAGAGAAAGAAATCTAGATGCAATTAAGTGAATTGAGATTCACCCTGTGACTGCATGAAAGGAGACACATATGAGACAGTTTTTCATCTATGATAACCATCATATCCAGTGGCATTTTCCTCAGTCTCCGAGCTCTTTGTTACTCTGGGGAGCTTCTTAATTGATTCTGTTGACTGGACTTGCTGCATTCACAACATCGTAATTTCACTGCTTTTTCTGCAGCTTGCAAGTGGCTGAGACCTGAATGGAGCTTCTAATGGATTTTTATAGGAGAAATCGTTGTGTGGCCAAAGCCAGCCATGGTGTCCCATTGGGAGATGTGTTCATTAAGCCTCCCATTGATCCAGGCTGGTTTTTTCCCTCTTGCACTGAAGAAAAGTCTTTTGTTTAAAACCGAATAGCGCTGCCATTAACCCCCTGAGGCAGCAAACGCTTAAGGCAGCAGTCAACTTTTAGGTGGAGGGACTCTTTCATTCCCTGCAGTCTTTTTGCTCTGGTGTTCAGTCCACATTATTCTGTTTTGTTTCCTCCTACACTAACTCCTTCTGGATATTTTTCTTGTTTCTCCACCTCTCTCTTTTCCTTCCTTGTTCTTTTAAGTTAGTTGCTTCTTTGTTTTAGTTCATTCCACCCACTCATATCATAGTACGACTTGTGCTTTCTTCTTTCTCTCCTCTTCTGTAATTGTCACCACATCGGTGAAGGTGCTCTTGCCATTTGTTGTTCAGTATCTTCCCTCCATCACTGGATATCTATTTTAAACTACTGATATTGCAGCAGAAGCTTTTCAAAGAAATCTAACAAAGAGCAGCTCCTAGTTTAACCTTATCTCTTCTTCATGTCTCTCTACAGTCATCCAGCTCATCCCAGGAGCGCCTGCACCAGCTGCCCTTCCAGCCAACCATGGACGAGTTGCACTTCCTGTCCAAGCACTTTGGCAGCACAGAGAGCATCACGGACGATGACGGGGGCCGACGCTCGCCGCACGTCCGCCCTCGCTCTCGAAGCCTCAGGTGAGAGCGTGGCAGGTCATGGCCAAGATACAGTTTAAGCAAATGAAGTCCAGCCATTAGGTGTTCAGTCAACTTAGATTTTGGTTTCGTACAATTCGTCCCTGAGAGCAGAAGCCTTATAAGGACTAAGGTTCTGGTTTCTTCTAACAGCAAGTAGCACTCAGTTTCTGACTCAGCAAAAACATAATTCTGTGACATTTTACTCCAGATACAAAATGTTCATGATTCATCCTTCATTCCTTATTTGTAAATAGTTGATTAATGGAGATTATCTGGTGAAGAAAAATAAGCAGAATTAATCTAAACGAATCATGTTAAGCTTTTATAAAAGAATATTAAGCCACCCTTTAAAATTATAAAAGGAAAACCTTAATTAGTGTGCAGGAACAATTTCATTCTGTCATGAAGAGTTGCAGAGAGCTCTCAGTCTCTTATTTAAAGCACAGGCCTTTTTGTTGCATTCTGTTGTATAATTCACTCACTGTGGTGTATGTAGGATTATGCATTTGTCAGGTCTGTTAAAAAGCTTCATTTTGTAGAGCTGCCATTTAATGGGAGGAGTGACTCAGTCTCTCAGCTCTCTTTTCCATTGAAGACAATATTTACCAGTATCATATGTAAGGCTTAAGTAGTGGAAGAAGTGTACAGATCCTTTACTCTGATAATGCTAATGCTAATTTTCACTCACTATGGACCAATACCACATTATGAAATACTCCATTACAAGTAAAAGCATTGTATTCAACATTCTACTAGAAAGCAAAACTACATAAATACTAGTAGCAAAATGTACAAGTATGCAGTATATTATATTTGATTATTACTTATGTGTAAACAGTGTTTTTATGTTGATAAAAATCAATTTGGAGCTAATAGTAACTGTTAAATAGTCTGAATAAGTCTGATGATAGTCAATATTTTTGTCAACAAATCCAATGAAAAGACCCCATCAATCATGAATTGATTGTACCAACAACAGGTATTGTAATGTATGCTGAAATCCATAGTGCCCAGCTGTTTTAGGAAATTACGGACCCATTTTTAAAAACTGTGAATTATTTATTTGGGTTTACGTCTTCAGTAAGAATGAATTGGCTTGTGACTGAGTGGCATAGATGAGGTTGGAAAGTACTTGGGAATAATAAATACATTATTGGTTTAGGCCTTACCATACCACTGGGTAAATAAATCTAAAGCACGTAAACTGTATAAGACTAATAAAAGTAGCCCACTGATTTGTGGACTCCTGTTTTGACGCTTCAAGTTCGGCATTTTGGCTGTCGCCATCTTGGTATTTTGGAGCCAAAAGTGATTTGGTCAAGACAAACCTAATGCTAACAGCTAGCGTGGTTAGCACGGAGCATTAACAGCTATAGTTGACTGTGATAATGCTAATGCTAATTTTCACTAGCAAAAATCAGGCCCGAACCCGTTAAAACAAAATGTTCAACTCTTAGAGGGCCTTTTAGCGGAACCAAATAATAAACAAGCCTTTTTATTCGGCAACCAAAGCATTACAATTAACTTTAATGAACTGAAAACACACTGAAATTCCTGCAGCTATGACTACACCATTAGAATCTGGGGTTGCACCATGATTAAGTTACCTAACCAATGTTGTTGCTGTGGTAGCGACTTGCCAATGGATGGCACCCCGCCTTAATAACACTTCAATGGATGAGTTTGTTTTTTTTGTTGTTTTTTTTTGTACCAGGCTGTAAACATGTTTATTTGTGCTGTAAAGTTAGGCATTTTAACATGGGGATCCACGGAAATATTATTATATCAGTATCACTCCACCCTCCAGTGCTTTGCCCCTCCAGAGTGCAACAGTTTCTCTATTAGTCTCTGGTGTACACTCCCTCCAACCACACCTATTATAGCCTCCTCTCTGGATGCAACATGCCCTAACTACATACAGCACGTCACTACTTATCAGTATTCAGTTTTCATATTAAGCTCCTCAGCAGCCGCTGCCCTAGATATTATCCTATCTTGTGGCTTCACTATACAGAAAGCCTTTATTGTGCACCTTGACATCTCTCATTATTTCTATTCATATCACATCTCTCTGTGAAGCTACATTGTGTTTGCCCACAAGACACCTTTTCATAATTTCATTTTTCTTTCGTGAATGTCTAATCTAGCACTGCATGAGTTGCTTTGAGATAACAGTATTACATTTTGGGATTTTATTCTGCCACATGTTGATTTTGATTTTGCCTTTTATCTGTGTATGTGTGTGTAGGAAAGTGTAAATGTGACTGTGAACATATTTATGCTTCCCTGACGTCTGTGCCGTGTTTGGTGTGACGTGCGGGACACCAGATCCATTAGAGAAATTAAACAGAGTGTCCTGAATTTCTGATTAGCATAATATACAGACAGGATGGACACGAGGGGAAGAAGAAAATTATTTCTTCATCCAAGTGAAAACTACAGAAATGCATCTCAGGGGCTGCCTCCCCTCGCTCTCTGCTCTTTGATTTTCTCAGTCGTTGCTGTATATTACACTCCTGCTCTTTTTGTTTGTCTCTCTTCAGCCCAGGGCGCTCTCCATCCTGCTATGACAATGAAATAGTGATGATGAACCATGTCTACAAGGAGCGCTTCCCCAAGGTCAGCCTCATAGAAACAAATACACAAGTGTAAACTGAACATCCATGAACACACATCAAATACGCACTGAAACAATATGCGTGCAGTCAGTTGCCACCTTTTTAGCTACATTCAATTTAATTTAAAAAATACAGTCAATTTTTTTTTTTTCACAGCCACTCACATTAATGCTGATGTGCTCAAGCGCAGCCCACAACAATTATGGTTCACAATCACAATTTTAGGGGGTGATTTCATGAAATCACAACTACTACGGCTTCAACTATTCCAGTGGTAGAGTATGGTTTGGAACAGAAACTTGGGTCATGTTTAAAACCAGGTGGCGTCCAAGTGGCAGCATATGGCATTAAATTATGGTAAAGATGTCAACTATGGTAGGAGAAGTGTTCAAAGTGATTATAGAAACATCTACATTTAAAAATACAATTTAAAACATGGCTAAACATATTAGGATGAGGATCTTTTAGCATCTATGCTTTCAACAATTCTTGAAGAACTCTGTCTTCCAAAAAGGGTTCTGTGGATGAACAGGGCTTTTAATGGACCCCTTGAGGCTCAGACATAACTTCCACATTGAACGTCTGCAGACAGCTGCGGACGCACATTTGGCTCTATTCATAGTACAATTGGCGGTCTGCCTCAGCCCCCTGCAGTGTATGGGAGGGCTGGGAGGTGAGATTACTGTCCTCCTACTGCAGACATTGTGTGAAAGTGAAACCAAGAAGACACTGCTGGGTCCAGAGTGAACGTTTGTTTAATATCCAACTTAAAACTAATGTCACTATGAAGAGGCAGCTGCGGCTGGCTTGACAGCAGTGTTTTGGACTGGACTGGAGTATGGAGCAAGGGATTGGAGCATGTGCAGTCTTTGCGCTTGCTATGCTTACAGACCGTGCATTCACAAAAAATGGGCTGCATGTGGTCATCTGCACAGGGGTCCCTGCAGACCATTGTAGACATGGGCAAATGAATTGTCACTTAGTCCTACAAAGAACCCGTGGAGAACCATTTATTTAAAGAAGGGTTCCTCAGAAGCAGTGATTCTAGGTCTAACGTCAGCCCTTTGGGAAGAAGCGTTTAGAGTGTATGGTCTGAGACCAACAGGTGATCATTCATAAAAGTCTTTCCCTTCAACAAGGAGTAGATTGATGTTAGTAAGACTGAGCTGCAGTAATGAACCAGGCAGCATGCGGACACTCTTCAAGTCACAGCACTACATTAGTCTGAGTATAAGTAGCTTTAGTAGCCTAATTTTTAGGGCCCATACAATTTAACTACAATGTGGACGGTTTGACTCCCGACCCTGGCATGTCACACTCCTCTCTCTCTGAGTATTTCCTGTCTCTTTCACACTGATTCTCCCTCCTGCTGCTCTAAGCTGTTATCTCTGTATTTCTGTGCCCTTGTTACTCTGAAAGAGGCTTACCATTCTCCTCTGACCTCCAACATAAAGACAGCTCACAGTCAAAGGGCTGCGATGTCATTTCACTGTTCTTGGTAAGCTGTTGACACTGCAGTGTGTGAAAACTCCTGGGGGTCACCCACATCTGAGAAGCTGGACCTGACCTATGAGTCAGTTATCATGATCATAAAATCAATTAGATCACGTATCTTGCCCGAGGCACATATGTAATCAAACTGTAAGATAACCTCTTGAAGCTGTCTGCGTGTATTATGTACAGAGACGCGGATACAACTCAATGCCTGAGAGAAACAATGATTTCTATAGACAGGGAAAAGTATATCAGGAAATGTGTGTCACTCTGTAAGCAGGTTTCCTCAAACACTTGCTTGTACTCACACACACACATCATCCTGTTCTCATTTACAGTAATGCATTGCGAAGCAGCGCTAACAGGCCAAAATGGAAGTAGACTGCATTTGTATAGAGCGTTTCTAGTACTCCTGACAACTTAAAGCTTTGCAACACAGGCACCATTCACCCATTCACACACACATTCATACACTGGTGGCCGAGCCTATCATACAAGGTGCCACGTGCTCATCATATTCTTACGTTCACTATCTTGCCCAAGAATTGACCCATGAACCTTCTTATTGGAAGACAACTGCTCTACCTCCTGAGTCAAAGCTACCCTTCCCAAATACAGCTGCACACTTCCTAGGACTGTGAATAAAGATTGAATATTGCTGCATCCTCAACTCTATTATAATGAGAATAATAAGCAGTTGCATACCTGAAATAGATATTTAATGGATGCTTAATGGAGCCTGAATTCTAATCACGTCATTGTTTTTCAACATTAGTTACACAAGTGAGACTAGGCATCATTTAGACTGTCTGACAATTTGACTATGTACCTGTCACCTTTTCCCATTATATATTCCTTTTCAAGTGTGACATTTAAAGCAGCAATAACTGATATTTTTATAATTACAATGAATAAAATGACAATGTGAAAGAAGTAAGTTGTAGTGATGAACCCACAGAGAATTGCCACCTGAATCTGCAGCTCCCCTCCACTTTACAGAGCTTTATGGAGAGTTTCAGATCATAGTTTAACTGTACTTATTCACTCTCACTGCTCTCTAAGCTTCGTTTTTCAGCCGCAGCAGGCAGCTGTTGTCAGAGAAAAAGCTCTAAAAGTCCAGTGAACGCTACCTGCTCAGCACCAAATGGCAGACAGACAGAGTTAGCGACTTGCCGGTGGACGAAGTGGAGCATTTAGCTGCCAGATATGAACCAGATATTGCCCTCAGGAGTTGATAGAGACCAAAGACAGAGCTAAAGAGAGTGAATATTGGACTAGCAACTGACTTTAAACCACCATCTTGTATTCATTTAGGCCACTGCCCAGATGGAGGAGAGGCTGGCGGAGTTCATCCACAACTACTCCCCAGAGAGTGTTCTGCCACTGGCCGACGGGGTCCTCAGCTTCATCCACCACCAGATAGCTGAGCTGTCCAGGGACTGCCTGACCAAATCACGTGAGGGTCTCATTACCAGTGTCTACTTCTGTGAGCTGCAGGAGAACCTGGAGAAGCTGATGAATGACGTGAGTTGTGTGGAGGTGGAGAGAAATGTAAACTAACGTCAGCGCAGACACATCTCTAACTCACCCTACCTGTCTCACTATCTGCCTTCTTGCTCCCTTGCTGTCAGGCCTACGAGCGCTCAGAGAGTTCGGAGCTCACCTTCGTCATCGAGCTGGTCAAAAAGCTCTTTATCATCATATCTCGTCCAGCCAGGCTTCTCGAGTGTTTGGTAAGTTTTATCCTTCAATCTGATAGCGCAATTGGTTTTATGAAATGGCCACTTAGCACACACTGATACAGATTCTTTAAACGAACATTTATTGAATCTAGTGAAAAGATCTTTTTTTTTCTGAGGGCCTTTTCACATTCTGAGTGTGTTCTGCTTCATCTCCTGTCCTCCCACATGAAGATGGAGGGTGGACTGCTTCACACTGAAATGGCATTAAGAAATGAGCAGAAGTGGGGCAGGCTGTCTACTGTGTATTCAATCTGAAATGATGAAACAAAGGTTTTCTAAGTGTGTCACAGCTGGAAGCTGTGCTAACACTCCTTAAAGGGATTCTGACTTTAAGGCTTTAAAAAAGTCTTTTACATTACATTTGTTTTACTTTTAACAAATAAAAAAACATATTAATTTTTTTGTATTATCCCATTGAGTCGGGTGGGGACACAGGGATAAAAAAAAAAGGGACTCCTTTATACACCCCATGATAACATACCTGTATTCAGTCTTATAAAGCAGAGGCGAGGTGTGCCCACATCTCTGTCTTGGATGTTTAAAATATAGAAACCAAAAACCTTCAATTACGGCAAATTAGCAACACAAATATAGACCCAATGCCAGTACACACCTACCTCTTGTGCCCTGTAGCTTTAACCCTTTGGCTGCAGAAAGAAATTAAGTAAATAAAATAAAATTGAGAATCTTATACCGCCCCTTTAGTATTACAGTCATCAGAAAAGAACTGGAAAACCCAATGCACAAGTAACAGAGAACAACTGTTACAACAATATTATGTACACATACACACATTTGTTTCTGAATATTCAGGCTCTTAGTGTCCACAGTTCATCAGTATACAGCTGCTGGAACGAGATATTTTACCTCAAGTTGTTTATTCTGGAGAAATATAATCCAAAATAATAATTTGAGTTTTTGAGAAAGAACATGAATACATTGAGCTCTTTGTACTCAGACACAAGAAAGTAGCAAGTCTTTGTGAAAGGACAGCTTCTTGTTGATATGAGTTCATGAGAATTTATTTTGCTGCTGTTAAAGGGGCATTTCACCAATCTTACACATGGAGCTCAGCTGCACCAGCAGTACTGCTCATCATGTGAAAACAGTTGTGAAATCTGTTTTGAGGCTCTGAAAGGATAGCTCAAAAGTCTGAAAAACAACCTTGATAATGTCATCGGGGTTGGCTTGAGACTTAAATGTTTAACAGAATGGTTGTCATACATTGGAGGTGTGTGGTTTGAAGAAAGTGTACATTTAGAAGGCAGTGAGGATTTAATGCGGGGCACTTTAGAGGTGCATTATGGGAGACATGGGATCGTGTATATTTGCTTTGAGCCATACTCAGGACTCAAACTCAGGGTATTTTTCTGACTTCAACTTTGACCATTTTTATGCCTGATCACAGTTGTGGCTGGAGGTATTATGTATTTAGTTGTCAGCACATCTGTCCATCCGCCCATCCCATTCTCGTGCACATGATATCTTGAAAGCACGTTGAGGGAATTTCCTCCAAGAGTGTGTTTCCACTTAGCGTTTTTCTTCAGCAGAAAAACAGTGGCAGGGCATTGGCGAGCACTTTGCGACAGCACTTCATAAAAAAGCACTCACACCTTTTTTTAATGACATGCTATGCGTGGGTTTTGTTTCAGACAGCACTATCTTGACACATAATCTCTTACCCTGTTTGACTCAAGGATGAACTGATTAGATTTTGGTGTTCAAAGGTCAAAGGTCACTCTGACCTCACAAAACATATTTTTAACCATATATGAAGAATTCATACACTAATTATGACAAAATTTCACACAAATGTCTGTATGAAAAAAAAAAAAAAACGTGAAATGATGAAATTTTATAACCAAAAAGTCACAGATCAGCTTCATTGTGTTCTGCAAAAGCACTTTACTGGTCATAATTCAACACCATATCTCAGGAACAGAAGCGGAGACATTTGGGATACTGAATTGGTGACACTCATCTTTGGTGTCCACCTTGAAACTGCGGATTGTATAGATCTTCTGTGGTGTTGGGTTAAATATGTGTATGAAGCATCCATGTTTCAGAACATGTAGCTACATTGCAAAAACATCAATATTTGAACCATTTTCAACTGTCATGGCTACATATGAGTCTAGACAGACATGGATGTAAACTGCAACTTGACTGGTTTGCGAAGGCATACAACTGCAAGGTGGTGATTATAGTGTTTTTAAATAAAAGTCCCTGACTTCATGTGAACAAAACTCTTTTATTAGCAGAGAGTCTTGAGGATGATTTCTCATTCAGTAACAACATATCAAAGCATTACAAAACAGGGTGCGTATAGCTATTTAATATGTCACAGAGGATGGAAGACAAACAGTTACTTGATATCATTAAATGATCAGTCAACGTGGCTGCATTAGAATCAAACCAATAGATGTGAAAACACATAATCAGACTGCTACTCTATATTTACTACGTCCCCCTGCATTCACAAATGGCTTCAATATACACTTATTTCCAGTTAGGTAGTTTCACTTTCAGCATTGTTAATACATTAGATATTCATGTATGAATGTACTGTATGTGCAGTGGAGGTCATGGTTATGTATAAGCTGTGCCAGTCAGTATATGAGACATGCTGCACATGTCTGCAGCAGCAGAGTATGCACTTATCGCCACAGGATATTTTTCCAACTAACTCGAAACTGTAAAATATTCTTCCCGCCTCCACTTCTTGTCGATCTCCTCAGCAGCACATCAAATCAGCCGGGAGATGGGAGTCGTGTCCTTGACATGTTGATACATAACTCACTTCAACTTACTTGGTAGTAACAAGCCTCTCTGTATGCACAGGAGGCTTAGCCATACCTGGATATCAGCTGACTGATGGATGGCCTCACATGTTCGTCATTGGCGTGGTCCCTCCTTTAAACGTCCCCCAGCTCATCTTTCCGTTGCTAAGGCGACCGTCAGAAGAGGTCGATAGGGTCAGGCAGGATGTGGAGGGGACTTAAGATCCCCACGGCCCATAGGTTAGAGAGGAGAAGACTCACACGCACACAGATAAAATGCTATCCACGGCCATAGAGTTCGTTTAGGATTCAAGTCAGCTGCGAGTTCTGATTTGGTGAAAATGTCACAGTCAGTAGGCTGTTAGCTGCAGGGATATTATCCTGGAGCAGACCAGGCTATCAGAGAGGCAGGTTAATTCCCCCTTTCCGTACTCTCTCTTTTTCTTCGGTCGAAGGGAGCAGATATGAGAGAGCAGGGGAGGAAGGAAATGATCCCGGCTGCCCCAGGCTCTGCTTTCTAATCAAAATGTTATTCCACCAACAGGAATGAAACTGAATCCCACAGGACACCACAAACCCTGTTTCACTGGAAAAAAGGATGTTTCAAGAAAGCAATTTAAAGTTGGGAGGTGTATTAACACTGATTGTATTTGTTTGACAGCCCCATAGCGGTGTTTGGTCATGAATTTGCAGCAGGTTGAAGAAAATCCTACTTCTTGATTTTAGTTTGTCACACCTGGAATTAATTTATGGGCTCTGTTTAAATGATTTATAGTGCATGGCCTAAAGTGCATGGCGCAAGTGCATAGGGCATGTACAGCATTACTTTTTGCTAGTTTAGCGGCACATAATCTGGGCGCAAAGTAAGGCACAAGGGGCAGTGAGGCTTTATTTATTCCCTTAATTCTAAGTGTTACATAAATTCAACCAATCAGAGTGTTATCTCTCATTCCCTTTAAAAGCCAGGTGTGCCTGCACCTTTGAGCCATTTTGTACTGAAAGTAATGTAATAACAGGGATGTCACAGCAGGAAATATCTTGGGACATTTAAGAGGCAAAACTTTAAACAGTAGTTATAAACTTGACAGAGGAAACTTAACTTTTAGATTCTGAAATAATCGATGCAGTTACGCTGCTCCTCATGCGTAAATGTGCACAGCATCTCTTAATGTGGAATTGGTCAGCAGCTCTGCTCTGCTCTCTGCTATGTTCACATTTAAGAGAATGTAATTAATGTTTTCCTCATTGATGATGTATCATGTCACCCATCTGCTGTTTGTGTAACAGGCAGAGTGTACAGGTGTTATGAACCCACTGATGTAGGTGCATCTTACTATCTGAATAATGCACCCTTTGAATAGCAGGAAAATACAGCACCATTTTATCAGTAGACCAGGTTTTTGTTGGTCAATGGTGCAATCGCTTTGCTGCCTCAAAATAACAATACACCAACAATGTACCTAACCACAACACATTATAAGACCTGGATGCCCTTGAGCACAGATGGGTGCTGGCAGTAAAAATGACATCTGCGTCTAAAGCTGGTCTGAAGCTAGCAATGACCATCGCATTGCACCGTGCACCGCTGAGTGCCGCTTTGCGACACTTTGCGCCGCTTTGCGCTGTGTGTAAGATATGGCTCTGTGTGATATGACACAATATAACAGCAGTTCACATCTCTTCGTTTCTGCTACCTAGGACTCTAGTTACCATGGCTCTAAAAAAGAAAAATCAGGATTATGATATATGTTACCATCATATTAGTGGCAGTCATAACCTGACTGATACTGTCAGATTCTGTCAGATATTTGGGAGCACAAAAATATCTGGTAACTATGTGTTGGCTGATAATCACTTTTAGAAACATAAGCGCATGACAAACAGTTTTATATGGATCATTTCAATTCAGTTTTCTTCAGTTTTCACTTTTTTTTTTTCTTTCCAAAAATGCCAAAAAATGATCATCCCCTTCTTTGTGTCTTTTTCTTGATCTCACATGGATTAACAAAATATTGCAAGGGAGTGGACAAAGGTTTTCTTTTTGTAATCTCACACATCAGTAGCAGCAAGTGTTGATATTCAAGTGGCAATTATCTGGTGCTGACAGGGGCTGATTAGATTTTAATGAATTCACTTCTAGGGATGATGTGGCTCCAGCACTGCTCTCCAGACCTATCTGAAGGTGTTAAAACTCTGCTATTGTGGACTTAAAGATATTTTCACGGCTAAATATTAAATGAGCAGTGATCACTTAAATGTGCTAGACACACTATGTCGTGTTCACACTGTTACTGTAGCTCCTTTTGGATTACCTGTACAGCTGAATACCAGATGTTCAGGTACATCTGATGTCAGATCTTGAGCTATGGTTTAAGCTTTAAGGTGTTTGATACTGTACCTTTCTTTGGAACTTAATTTTTCCCCTCCAATGACAGGAGTTTAACCCTGAAGAGTTTTACCATCTGCTGGAGGCAGCGGAGGACCACGCCAAAGAGGGACAGCTGATGAAGGCAGACATCCCTCGATACATCATCAGTCAGTTGGGGCTGACCAGAGACCCACTTGAGGGTAAGAGAAAGAGAAATAAATATTCACTTATGAACAAGTTGTGTCTTATTTGTTTAACGTAAGGATAATAGTTTATGTGCTGTGACTATTCCTTTACGGACAATGGCAAGGTACAGTGACTTTCTGTGACTTTTTGTCAGGAAATAGTTCAACCCTTAAACTCCAGCTTATCGTTCTACGGCAGCATGTTAATTAGGGAGCTTTAGAGATGTTAGTAGCTTGATTTTTCAAACACAGAAGCAGGCTAGCTGCTGATTAACTCCTGGCTATAGCTCCACAGCTAATGGACAGATATGAGATCAATCTTTTCATTTAACTCTAAGCAAATAGCTTTCCCCAAAATGTCAAACTATTCCTTTAAGATCCTTTAAGTTAGTTAATGTAGTGTGTCCTATTGATCTGTCCCACTTAATAACACAATCAGCATTAAGAAACTTTAAAACTCTACCGCCTAGTCGTCGCACTCCTTTATAAAATCAGAACTCAAAGTAAACCATTAACACAGAGACATTGGGTTCATTTGTAAATCCAGTCCAATCTGCACTAAAATTAGGGCCCTGTTGTTTGACGAAATAGAGCTTTCTATTTCTACGTGAATTAATGAGCAGTGAAGTTAATCACACATTCCCTTCACTTGGCGGTCTGCTGCTCCATCTCCTCGGAGTGCCCAGAGTATGCTCCGCTGCGCAGAGAGTTTGGTGTTCTGAATAACCAAATGGTACATTTCAAGAGTTCTATTCTCTCAGCTAACTGAGTGACTTCATAGAGAGGTGAGGTCCATTCCGTCCCATTGGACCACAGTGGGACCTTTGAACAGCAAGACACAAATGATTTTTGATCCTGTTTCAGTTGTGCTATGAACTATACATATAATTTTTGTCACTTACTGCAAGTCAAGAAAGTAGCAGTTGGTTGTGAAATGAAGCTGGTCTTTGACTGTGTAGTCTCGCCACCAGACAATCAGAGATCTCCAGCGTCTAAAGACTGACTTGTGAGTCTATTGACTGTGAAAATACATTTTTACAAAGACTACACACCCTGAAGACATCATAGCATTCTCTCGCTGAAGCTTCAGTTCAGCACAGTTTTAATGGTGTCAGTTTGTCAGAATGTAAAGAAATAAAGGAAAAAAAGAAAACCCAGGGCTCAAGTTTAGAGTCTGGCTGGATCATTTGCTGGCTGGTGGTGCGATAGCATCGCTGTCTTTCATTAATCATCATGGCTCAGACTCGGCCCCCAAACTCACAGTTCTAATTCACATCTGCTCAGCCGCTGCCAGTCTCATCCATCAGGACCTGTTCATTAGCTGATGGATGAAATGACCCGAAATGACTCTTCACAATAAACCTCTGCCATTTTATTTCTAAATTCATGAAAAATATGGGCCTGTCTTTCTTAGCTAATCTCTACTAACAGTTTGCCACTTGATATCTTGATCTTGCACTTTCTTTTACACCTACATCGTCACGCACAGACATGAATGCACACCCATGTAGCTGCTTGCACATTTTCACACTCTCATTTCTTTTCTTGGCTCCTCATAGAGACCGCTGACAGTCGTTTCCAGCATCAAAGAGAAACCAACAGAATACACGATTGTCAGCTCAGTGACTTTTATTTTACATGAAGTTAATATCTACAGAGCGGCTTTGTAAACGCTTTACAGAGTTAATTATTAGTCAGTTATTTCCCTTCTCCAACAAAACCGTACTATAATCAGAGTATTCTAGCAGCTGTCACATACAAGAGTGGAAGAACACTGAAAATTAGCTGCCAGTGCTGCTCGAGGAAGGAGAAGGTACAAAGTGAGGGGGAGGGAGAGCTGAAAGAGACGAGACAAATTAATAGGAAGAAGCTATTTTAACTCCCGTGTTTTTTTTTCTGTGATCTGACGCGTTTGGCCCTTCATCTGTTTTTATAAAAAAAAAAGCTGTGTTGTTTAAGATGTCTGTACAGCTGCAATTTTTTATCTGCTCACAGCAGTGTGGGAGGCCTGGTGTTTTGGCACGAAAAATGTCTCTTTTCTTTCCAACACCCGGTTTGCTTGTTAACTAACATGTTTCTCAACAGAAATCGTGAGCCTTGACAGCTACGACAGTGAGGGTCCACATACTCCAGAGACCGACGACTCAGCAGAGGTGAAGAACAAATAAACGCAGACAGATCTGTGCTTACATGTATTCATACACAGAATGACTGCATGTCCACACCAGCATTCATACACACACAACTATCAAACTTATTTAAGCATTTGAACATTTAACATAAACTGTTGTTGTGTTGATCTGAGTTATAATTTTAAAATATGTCACCAGGGAAAAGGGAGAGCCATCAAGCCACCGACTGAAGAGGATTTTCAGAGCATCAAACTTATCAGCAATGGAGCTTATGGGTAAGCAATGGATTCGAACCTTATTGACCCCTCATGGACCAGACCGGCAACTTGTCATCAAGCGCCAATCACCAAGGCCGCACCCCCTTTTTGGGAAAAGAATCGCACTGTCACATAAGGAGAGAAACTATATAAGCCAAAAAGCTGTTTGATTCCTAGCTTAAACGGGAGGTTGCTACAGTAAAGCAGCTAAATCTCAGCCTAGTCTTTATCGAGAGTTGGCTATTAACAGGTTGGTTATTTACAAGCAGCAATCTTTGGGGCTAAAAAATACAGCCAACATGGAAGTGCCAAAAACTGCAGTTCCTCAAATGGCCACTTGAGGCTGGCTCCAAGAGTGACCTAGGAAATCCAGTGGTACCAACCATGTTATGCTAGCTTCTCAGGAAGGGGTCTCCAAAGTTAGGCTAAATTTTGGCAAGGGAAAAACAGCATGGCCATTTTCACAGGGGTCCCTTGACCTCTAACCTCAACATATCTAAATGAAAATAGGTTCTGTGGGTACCCACAATTCTCCCTTTTACAGGCATGTCCTCTTTCGGTTAGTCCCATACAGTTTTGGGTCACAAACTATGCACTTTTTTGCATGCAGTGTTTATTACAGCAATATCACTAGAAAAACTTGACACAGAGTGCTGAGCTGCATCTCAAATTAATCTGTGGGTTTCCAGTTTTCAGTTAACACAAGTAGCACGTACTGTTGACCTGCTATCTCCCCCAAAGGATCCCCTGTCTCCCCCCAAAAAAGACAAAAATGGATCCACAGTTTGTGGGTCTCATTGCGTGCTGCTATTTTGTCTGTTCGACCACACTGTTTTAGCAGTGCAGCACTGGTTTAAAAGACAGACATCTAAAATTTGGCAAAATTATAATCACATCAAACACACATCAAATTGCATTGGCAGTTGACAGATATTAGGTTTTCTAATCCCCAACAAAGAAGCACGGCTTGACATTTTTTGCAAAGTACCCGTATGTGCCAGTGTTGTCAAGAGTAACCAGATCAAATCCAATTAAGCTATTATGTAGTGTTTTAAAAATCTTCACTTAACCTCAATACACTGTGGAAGTCTTAAATATGGTTAAGAGCTCTTAAAAGAAAAAAGCATCACAGTGTTTCCAAGGTCAACAATCAACATTCATGCTCAGCATCATTAAGTGCTTCATGAAGACCTGATTAAAAACAACAAACAAAGATGTGGCACAATTGTGTGAATTTGAGTAAAAATTACCCAAATATCAACACTGTGATGATAGAGGTAAAAATCATTTCAATCGCTGAAAACCAGCTGCTTTGAAAGAACCAGCCTGAACAGTTTTGATACTGAATATTCTGTAGAAATACCAACAAAATGTTTCTGAACCACATTATATTAATGCATACAGTAGCTAAAATAATATGTTGTAAGAGATTGTTGTCAATGTTAACCAATTATCAGAACTATGCTATGTATTGTTTAGTAAGATAAAAACAGAAACTGTTTTTTAAACATGGACGATGCACAAAGAGACTGACTTTTTATTTATGTGTGAAACATTTACGTTAGAGCCAGATAGATGAAGAAAGGTGGGCAGATGAGGAAAAAGGCCTTTTATCAGGATAAAGCTGCACTAAGTATTTGAAATTTTGTACACATTCTACACAATTTTTACCTGAGATTATATAAATGTGTGTGTATATAATGTCAGGATTCATTTAATATTAATGTTTTCATTTAGGTTTTGGTTTCGTATGTGTTACTTGTGAACATTTTTGAGATAAAAAGCGTTTTATAATCCCATTAGAGATTTAATCATATATTTGGCATGACACAGCAAAAAAACTAATTAACTAACTAAGAGACTGAGACTAAAAGCAGTTTTACAATTCTTTATATTGGTATGAAGAATAACAAAAGCACCAGCATCCAGAGATTTTAAAGGGACAGTTCACCCTAAATCAAAAATTCATATTTTCCTCTTACCTGTAGCACTATTTATCAATCTACATTGCTTTGGTGTGAGTTGCCGAGTGTTAGAGATATCAGCCAAAGAGATGTCTGCCTTCTCCGACATAATGGAACTAGATGGCACGTGACTACAATAAAAAAACAACTCAACAACAGTGTCTCTTTACAGAAATCATGACCCGGTTACTCAAGATCATTCACAGGCCTTTTTGTGAGCAGTTTCATGTAGGTACTATTTTCTCTTCACTGAACTGCACTCGCCAACTGTATCACAGGGCGGAAGGACAAGTGCATCTATTCATGGACAAGACGCTCGTGTTTGTGACAGCACAAGATGTAAAAATTAATGGCATCCACCTTGGCTGAGCTGTAATGTTAGCTAGCTCCTCCTTCCGTGCAGTGATCCAGTTGGTGGATTTAGTTTGGAAGACAGAAAATAGTTCCCACACAAAACTATTAACAGCAAGGTTTGTCAATCATGTTGAGTAACTGGTTCATGATTTTTTTGGTGGTCTGAACACTACAAGTTGAATGCCATCTAGTTCCATTATATTGGAGAGAAGGCTGATGTCTCCATGGCTTATATCACCAACACTAAGCAACTAACACCAAAATAATCTAGACTGATAAGTAGCACTGCAGGTAAGAGGAAAATGTGTGTTTTTGATTAATGGTGAACTTTTCCTTTAAGGGGTAAAATTTAAAGGTTTAAAGACATTTTCTGACATGTATTCAGGCACTGGTAAACACAGACATACATTTAAAGTGTACTCAGCTGACAAACAATCAGTGCGGAATTTAAAACAACACAAGGTCTCCTCTTGGTCTTAATCAGTAGGCATGTTGCTGCACTTTAAAAGATTTTCAGTATGTAAAGCTGTCTTGGATACATCAGAAAGGAGCTTTCATTATCTGCCCATGTAAAGGAAAAAGGATAGGCAAATTCAGTTCAGGATTAAAGAAGCTGAACGATTACTGGCGCAGGGCTTGACATTTTGTGCCAGAGGTTTTTAAGTCTTAATATCCACTCAGCCACACTGTATGAACTTCATGTCTAAGAGCAGATGGAATATCCTCTCTATTTTTAGATCTTCTCATATAATAAATTCATAACGGTCTCAGCACTGTCTAATCCTGCTTTCTTTCCTTCATACCTCATCTTGGCACTGCCAGTCTCTTTAGATTTCACTCTTGTCTATTCTGTCTCACCTTCTCTCCAGTGCCGTCTACCTGGTGCGCCACAGAGAGACGCGTCAGCGTTTTGCCATGAAGAAGATCAACAAGCAGAATCTGATCCTGAGGAACCAGATCCAGCAGGCCTTTGTAGAGAGGGACATCCTCACCTTCGCAGAGAACCCTTTCGTCGTCTCCATGTTCTGCTCCTTTGAAACGCGGAGACATCTGTGCATGGTCATGGAATATGTTGAGGGTAAGGGAGTTAGGTTTGGTTTTGTTGCAGACTTTAATTACACAGAGGGAAGACTCAAAGATAGTTTTGAATTATGGGACCACTCTGAAAGGGTGGTGCTCTTGTTCTGCCCTTCCTTTTTCTGTGTCAGGCTTCTGAGGAAATGTTAGATCAGGTTTCTATCTGGTTTGTAAAATAACATTTTCAGCTTTTTCATCCTGGCTCCTATTCCCTGACCTTGCTCTTCTCAAGCTTCCATGAATGAATCTGTTTCTAATTGATTAAATCCTTTGTCTGTGTGCTGTGGCCCTGACTTCACGAGTTTTAATTACTTTTTGCTTGTAGTGATGGTGACCTTAAAGGGACACCCCCAAATCAAAAACACATATTTTTCCTCTTACCTTTAGTGCCATTTATCAGATCAAATTGTTTTGGTGTGAGTAGCCAAGTGTTGGAGATATTGGCTGTAAAGATGTCTGCCCTCTCTCAAATATAATGGAAGTAGATGGCACTCGGTTTATATCTCAAAGCGCCAAAAAAATACATTTGAAAACCTCAACAACAACGTGTCTTTCTAGAAATCATGACCAGGTTACTCAAGACCCCCCACCAACCGTAGCATCGTGCAGAAGGAAGTGCACATCTACTGCTAGCTCACTTAGCACCACTGAGCTAGCTAACGTTACAGCTCAGCCGAGGAGAACACCATTAAGGTTTACATCCCAGTGTCACAAGCACAAGTCTCTCGTCCATGAGAAGATGCACACTTCCTTCTGTGCAGTGATACAGTTGGTGGGTGTAGTTCGGTAGAAAGAAAATAGTTCCTCCATGAAACTGCTCACAGCACGGTCTGTGGATTATCTTGAGTAACTGCGTCATGATTTCTGGAAAGAGACATTGCTGTTGAGTTTTTCAAATGTATTTTTTTGGCACTTCGAGCACCCCAAGCCGAGTACCATTTAATTCTATTATATTAAAGACAAGGCAGACATCTCTATGCTGAATATGTCCAACACTCAGCAACTCACACCAAAACAATCTAGACTGATAAACAGCACTACAGGTAAGTGGAAATACATGTGTTTTTTGATTTTGGGATGAACTGTCTCTTTAAAGTGTAACCTTATTCAACTTCTGCTCTTCATTTATTTAATTCTATATAAATGTGTCAGATAAACATTTAATAGCAGATGATGATTTTGTGTGCTCAGATTCAGGAAAAGGAAAGTAATATGGTGGAGATGATGAGACTCTTATTTCACTATCACAATGATTCTTGACCATGAAAGTCAAACAAGGTCAGTACAATCGGGACAGCGTCGTGGCTCCGGCTGCAGTAGCTCTCATGTTATCTGATGGTGCACACTGAGGCATGAAGGGTAGTCGTGAGTGACTCACGTAGGATGACACTGCCAAATGTGCTTTAGGGACTGCAAAAGTCGATTACAAGCTGAAAAAAAGCATAGAAATGTAATAAACAAAATGTTTATACCCATTTATATGCACAGGTACACCACAAAAATAGGAATATTTTTATTATGAATTACATATTATGATGCTGCTCTCCCTCATCAGAGGATGAAATTACATCATCCTGCATGCTTTCTGTGCTTCAGTACCATTTGTCTGAATAATTTTCATTCAGCATTTCTCATGCAATATCCATCCTGTCAAAACTATGAAATAAATAAATCCACTCACGATGCAACAGTAACAGTGTTTCTGTGTTCTCAGGTGGTGACTGTGCCACTTTGCTGAAGAATATCGGGGCTCTGCCTGTGGAGCTTGCAAGGATGTACTTTGCTGAGACAGTCTTAGCTCTGGAATACCTGCACAACTATGGCATCGTCCATAGAGACCTCAAACCTGACAAGTGAGTGTTTAAAGGTTTTGTATTAACACTGGATCAAATGACAACATGTGATGTTAAAGAGGCTGCTCATGGTGATGAATGAAATTGTCTGCAACTCCTCTAAGCGTTATGGTGTTTTTCAACCTTTTTTCAGCACACTTTATTTTTGTTTTACAGCCAGCAACTTTATTGCTTTGACTCCGTTTCACCTCTTTTTCAGCATTATTTGCAATAGCCACTATACGCTACCTGCCCAGTGCAAAACAGCAGGCAAGGTTATTTCTGAGCTGGTAAACAAAGTAGAGCATTTAGCTGCTAAAGCAAATGAGTTATAATGCTTCTCCATACATACAGGGTGTGTTAATATCCAACAAGTTCTCCCTAACCAGTGTATGAGGTGATAATACGTCATTGTAGGTGTAATCAGTTTATTCTGCTGCCCCAAGTGGCAAAAATCAAATATTGCTGCTTTGAAAGTGAGTGAGCACTGCTAAAAAAAAGGAAAAGGAGACTGTTTGGCACACTCACTTTAAACAGGACAATTAGCTGTCACTGCACAAGAAGTACTGACAAAATGATTTGTTTTTAGGTCTAGGGTATTGAATGAACATTTAGCCTTATGGCTACATCTAATAACAGGCCAGAACCTATCTGAGCCTTGATTGCCATTCAAAAAAGAAGACAGGCCTTACCTATAGCTCACTGCAGGTCTGCTCCAGTCCTCTTCTCCTTTCTGTATACTGAGCTCAGTTGGTTTTACTTCATTTTAGGTCAGCAAATTGAGGCAGACAGAAACTAAACCAAAATACTTTAGGGATGAAGATTCATCTCGGTCTCAGTACAAACTTACTCTGGGAATTCATTTGCAGCAAGCCTGCCTCATGTTTCCATATCTTCACTTATGCACTCTCCTCCTGACATTTAATGCAAGACCTGCCCTCAGTAACAACAAATGACAATCTATGACCATGACATAGCTTTTCAAATAACCACATACCATTATATATGGGTTTTATTGCAATGTACCAGAATTGAATACCCGTTTTCTTTCTCCAAATAGTCTACTGATCACCTCCATGGGACATATCAAGCTTACAGACTTTGGCTTGTCCAAGATGGGTCTGATGAGCCTCACCACCAACCTGTATGAGGGACACATTGAAAAAGATGCCAGAGAGTTCCTGGATAAGCAGGTAAAGTACCTGTGTGTATTGCAGGCTGCAGAGGAAAGGCTGCAGACAGATACATTTAATTAGCGACTGTATGAATAGGGATTATTTGTGTAATTCTTAGATGGGATGTTTGGTGGATGAACAGGCGACTGGCATTCACGGCATCTTTTCGTCTTCTCCAGCCAACCTGCCAAGTCATCTGGCCAAATCAATAATCTCCAAATGAAGACACTGCATTACAATGCTTCCTGCGCAGTCTGAATTAGTGAATTGTTAATGATCTCCATCTCCATCACAATCCCAATTTTAGCAATTATAGATATTGTTTGTGCTCTGAATGAGAGTGGTCATAATCAGTCAGATCAGTCAGCTCTTCTGGGTGGAAGCAAGCATCTGTTTGTCTGCCAGTAATCAACTCACATCTGCGGATGAAACAGACCAGGGCTTTGCTTTTCATGTTTCTAATGAAGATTCTGATTAGGAGAGTGTTTCTTATTGACTCATTAATGATGTCTCTTTTGTGTAAGATGGATGCACACACACTAACACAAGTGCATACATTGTATATTCACTTTCACATCTTCTAAACAGCAAATCATAACTGAACCACATATATATATGTATGTCCATTAGAATGAAACCTGAAACCTGTCATCAATATGTTTTACTCACTGTTACTTTACTTGAAGATTTGACCTAAGACTTTTTACTGAAGTAGGAGACATCTTGTGTTCAGTAGTTATACTTTTGAAATGAAAAATATTTGCTTATTCATAGATTTTGAATGGGAGAGGGAGAAGGGGTCAATGTGCTTTTACAATTTTTTTTTTTTAAACAAATTATTTGAACTTTTTTGTGGAAAAAACGATACCAGAGGCTCATTATTGAGTTTTTAATTTCATATTTTGGGTATTATAATGGTTTTACATGCTCTTTTTGATCCTGCACTTTGATATGACGCACTGATGGCACTTTGCCTTTTTACTGTTGTTATGTTGCTGTGTCTGACCTGTTTGTCTGTTTTGTGTGGATGAAGCCAAATCACTTGAACTGTGAACCAAATCTACCTTCGGGTACAAATAAAGTTACCTTACCTTACCTTACACAAATTTTCCTGGATGCCAAGAACTCCAACCGCGTTTGTCAAGCATCTCCAAACCTTCTTTCATTCTCTCTCAATTTCTGTCTTTGCTGTCCTTGCTTCCATTTTCTCTCCATCACCCAGGTGTGTGGCACTCCAGAGTACATTGCTCCAGAGGTGATTCTCCGTCAGGGCTATGGAAAGCCAGTGGATTGGTGGGCCATGGGCATCATCCTCTATGAGTTCTTGGTGGGCTGTGTGCCTTTCTTTGGCGACACTCCAGAGGAGCTGTTTGGACAGGTGATCACAGGTAAGAAATAGTGTTGAAACTTAAGGACTTGCATCTGTATAGTGCCTTTCTAGTCTTCCGACCGCTCAAAACGTGTTTTACACTACGAGTCACATTTAACCATTCACACACACATTCATACTGTGGTGGCCGAGGCTACCGCACAAGCCACCTACTACTCAACTTTTAACACAATCACACACCAATGGAACAGCCATCAGGAGCAATTTGGGGTTCAGTATCTGGCTCAAGGATGCTGATCTTTTCGATTAGAGGACAACCCGCTCTACCCCCTAAACCATAGCGGCCCTGGCTGGTTAAAATAAAACTGGAATAAATAATAAGAAAACAAGATAAATTTACTTACACTTCTCTCAAACTGCAGCTGTAAGAGCAAACAACAAAAGTTGTACACCATGTTTTCATTCAGCTGGGTTTCTGGGTTACCGTCTTTCCTTATACTAAGTAGGTCATAGTAAGTGTAAAACACTATTTCAAGACTGCCACAAAGTTTAGAAAACAAACTGTGTATGCTCCAAGGATCAATTAAATGTTACCATTCTTATCCAATACCATGTCTCTCATGCATGTGATGTAGTCTGAGCAGAGGTACAGAGATAGTGCTCCAGACAGAGTAGTTTTCTTCCATGTTTAAAATATCTTTTTCCCCCATGACATGAAGGAATTAAAGGGATTGTTTAGATATTTTCAAGTGGGGTTGTCTTAGGTACTTTTCCATAGACACTGTCTTACCCACAGGCAGTCGGCACGCCCCCAGTTTGGAGAAGCAGACAGGGGTACCAACATGGAAGCTAAGCAATGTACTGCTGTGGGCGAAGGCAGCAGCAAAACATTTTTTAGTTAAATCCATATAAGTTGAAGTGTACGCCATATTTAGAATATTTTCACTGCCTTACCTTGCTATCAGACAGCCCTTTCCAACAGGGAACTGAAGCTGTCATATCGTTCTCATCAAGGCCTGAATCCCTTGACAAAAACAATAATTTTAGCTTGCTGAATGCACTGCCATGATCAGTTAATGTGGTTGTGTTATTGTGTGACTTAAGTATTTTAAAGACTTAGGTCAGAATCATCAAAGTCACACAGTAACACTAACTAACTAACTCATTAACCCTATGGGCCCGAACGACGCATAGTGCGTCCAAATTCACACCTGTTCTTCTCTATTGATTTTCTCCGCGACTGTTCATCATAGTGAGAAGCCACACACATCATGTGAAACAGCGGAATTGTAGCTTTCCGACAAGACCAAGCACTTGTCAGTAGTCCAATGTTTTCACAGCAAAAAACAATGATAAAATTACACTTAAATTTTGGATAACAAAGCTTTCATACAGCTTTGCACACACATTACTCTTGGATGGATTACTTGCGAATGCGGGGTCGCACAGAAATGCCGCGCATATCACATGAAAGCGCAGGAGCAGACCTTTCCAGTGATACCACACACATCATTGTGCTGTCATCCCATCATGCTATAAATTCAGATTAATTGTCTACAAAATAAAACCTGATGAATTTCTTTACAACCCATTATACAGATCTTGTTATCAGTCACGTCATATAGTGAGGAATATCGTATCTTACCACGTCTTAGGCTTGCGTGTGTTTCTCCCTGTCTATCCACATTTGTAGTCCGGCTTTCAAGATGCAAATATCTCCATATTGTCCAGTTGACACTCCATCAAACTTTGTATGACAAGACTAGCCACTTCACCTTTGTGCACCCAGACAACTGTAGCCTAATTATGCATGCATGACAGGGCTGTAGCCAACATATACATTGAGGGGGACATGTGTCCCCCCCCAATGCCTAAAATGCCCCCCCAATATACAACTGAAACTGAAAAACAACAACAAACTTTGTTTACTGCAAACAAAGTGGCAAATATTATCTTGTAGGACATCATTGCACTTGGTTGACTATTTTTCTATGATCTTAGATGTAAATATTGCATGTTTCTTTCAGATAAAACACATTTTGACTTGTGAATGAGTCAATGCAATTTCTTGCAATAATGAAAAAATACTGGCATTCATGTCCGCCTGGCACAAACCACATGTTTTGGACAGCTGTGAAGTGACAGAATGTCCCAGCATCATGGTTCTTTTATTGCCAGATTCCAGAGAGTCTCTCCTCTTCATATATGGCAGAATATGTCTTCTTCCAACTTGTTATGGTGAGATACATGTAAAAATGTAAGAATTTAGTAACACAGATTTGGGTTTTTTTTCATTGATATAAAAATTAATATAAAATACAGGCACATAGAAGGACATGAAATGATGCATTTATAATGACTGTGATATGAGCTTAAAAGTAAAGGCAGTAAAAATACCCCAAAAACGCCTAGGGCCCATAGGGTTAAAGCAGCAGTAGACCAGCAGCTCACTGTGCTGAGCAAACTAAAATTACTGTTTTTGTCAAAGCAGTCTGGTGGCTTTGATGAGAGCATAGATGGCGAACTGAAGCTGTAACAGCTTCTCCGTTGGAGTGGGCTTTCTGACGGCAAGGTTAAGGGGTGAAAATACTCTGTCTCTCTCTCTCTCTCTCTCTCTCTCTATATATATATATACATATATATATGTAAGGTAAGCTTTAAGTTGTTATTGATTTTTTTTAGGCAGCTGAAATACCTTTTGCTGCTGCCACTGTCCACAGCAGTATATTGCTTAGTCTCCATGGTGGTACTGCTGTCTGATTCTTTAAACTGGGAGTGTGCCAACCAACATCCACTGTATGTAATACACTGACTATGGAAGCACATTTCAAACGACCCACTTAAAAAGATCCGAACTATACCTTTAAGGGCATTTCGCAGTTGTTTGGACCTGCCTATGATATGTCATTTTGAAACTACTTCAAAAGGAGGCCGTTTCTTTCATCCTTGTTACACTGACCTTTTGCTCTCTCTTTGTTGTCTCTGTTAGATGACATAGTTTGGCCAGATGGTGATGAGGCCTTGCCTGCAGATGCCCAAGACCTTATCTCTGCCCTGTTGCAGACCAACCCTCTTGTGCGGTTGGGTACAGGTACTAACTTTTGCATTCACTTGATATCAGAGTTCTGATCTGCACCTATTTTGTGCCTGTATTAGGAATGCAGTGTACCATTAATGTGAATCTGAGAAAGTGAGTGTGATGCAAAACAGTTCCATGCATGCTGGAAAACCAAAACAGGCAGCTGAAAGTTGCTAAAACGCTCCATCATAACTTTCACTCCTAGGTTTGTGACTAAGAGAGGCACCTTTCACACACTGTTAATATAAGAAACATTGATTTAAGCCACTTAAATATGGCGTTTATCCATTCTGTATTGTGATCTGATTGTGTTGTTTGTGCCATCAGGCGGAGCGTTTGAGGTGAAGCAGCACTCATTCTTCACTGAGCTGGACTGGAACAGTTTGATGAGGCAGAAGGCAGAGTTCATCCCTCACCTGGAGTCAGAGGAGGACACCAGCTACTTTGATAGTACGTTCCTCTGGATTTATGTGTCTGTAAAGTAGGACAGTTATATCAATATTAGCTTTATGGGTTGTACAGTAATTTTCTGACATCGTTCCAGTCACAAATGCACTTTTCATGTTGAGATGACAGCTTAAATATTTCATCTTCTCTCTCTTTCTCTCTCTCTCTCTGTCTTTCCTGCCAGCTCGCTCCGATCGGTATCATCACATCAATACATATGATGAAGATGACACCAATGACGATGAGCCAGTGGAGATCAGACAGTTCTCTTCCTGTTCTCCTCGCTTCAGCAAGGTCTGACTTTGTCTCTCTGCCACCCTCACCTCTCTCATCTCCCTCAGTCATTTGACACAGTTTTCCTTTTTTTCTCACTGTGTCAACCTGTTAAATTTTTATCACTTGACACTTGAGATTTTTTAACAGGACTGTGTGAGGAGGAAAAGAGAGTTTTCGACAGATAAAATGAGGTCTTGCTGTACAGAGAGCAGCACCTGGAGGGTGGATTCAGGTCTCCTACCTGGAGTTCAGACAGTCTTACTGGGCTGCTGTAACTGTTACACCATTCCTTCTGTCTGTAGCTTCTATTTTAAGCCACTCAGAGGCCCACGTACTTTTAATCTCAAGGCCTTGCTCTACAGATGTGTGTTTAATGACCCTGACAGACTTTCATCCTTTTTATTCTCATCCACTCCTTCCATGGCCAAATCTCTTTTAATTCTGATCTGTGTCTCTCTCACAGTGTGCCAGCATGTTCTTCCTATCACACTTTCCCTCTCGGGTGGGATTTTCTCACCTCATGCTGTTTTTTCTTTTCCTCTCTCGACTCTCCCACTTCCATCCTCTCTCACTCGCTCTGTCTTTCCATCTGCCTTCCTTGTGTCTTTTACCTGGTCCGACCTCTCATGTTTGGGTTCTGGGATTGTGAAGGAGCCCTTCAGAAAATTTAAAGTGCCTCACTGAGGGGCGCAATTTCAATTAAATTTGAGGTGTGTTTGAAGTTATGGTCAAGGGCTGTTGAGTGGCCTTGCTTGAGGAAAGCAGGTTAACAAAGACCTCTGCTGAATCCACACACATAATGAGGTCTGCAGTGAATACACACATGTATTTGGTCCATTATAATTCATTAATGTAGAGCTGCAATGATAAATGCTGAATAATCCATTAGTGGAAGATAGAAAATTTGTAATTTTTTAAGCAAAAAGGACAGACACACAAAGGTTTCAGCTTCTCCAGTTCACAAAAGGCTTATAGTACCCCAAGACCTGCAACCACACTTTAGTGTAAAATCTGAGTTCCTTCTTTGAAGAATACAACATACTACCCCACTGGTCAGAAATACATGTTTATAATAAGTAACCCTAAATATGTAATAGGGCTGTGTATTGACAAGAATCAGGCGATATGATGCAAATCACGATACTGGTCTTACAATCCAATATATTGCATTAGATTACTTGTAATGTCTACAGTTACCTTGACTGTGTTGTGTTTGTTGTGCTACCTTGCTTCAAATAGGAAATTAAATATGTCCGCACTCAACCAAGTAAAATAATCTTATTAGCATGCACGTTAATTGCCAAATATATATTAATTATAAGGCAGATCTCACTCTCGTGTATACCATATATCTAATATCTGAAATAATTGCAATACATATAAATAATTACAGCAAAAGATTATCCAGCTGTAACTCCCACCCACCAGCTGCATTTTCCCGGAGCTGTTAATAACTGCTTACAGACCAAATGATGATTGATCCGACTGTGTCCCCCTGCAGGTGTACAGCAGCATGGAGCATCTGTCTCAGCTGGAGCAGAAAGCTACGACCTCAGTGTCCCGTCGGGAGCACAAGGGCCCACGGGAGGACAAGGTGACCAAGCGAGAGAGCCTGGGCAGCTTCAGCATGAGAGACAAGAGCTGGAGGACTGGATCCCCTGAGATGTGAGTGGTGGGCAATATTGAATGAGGCGTTGTAGAGGCATGTATAGAAATGAGGTGAGAAAGGACTGAGGGAGTTCAGACGGTGGTTCCCTGAATGTGTTTTTTTCTCTTTTAGCAGCCTGGCTGTCACACACCCCAGTGTGCCTGAATAACTTTACCCTCTATCTCACTGACACCAATTTTGACACTTCTTGTATAAAAAGAAACTTTGTGTGAGAGTTCACACTCACTTTGAGTCAACAATAGGCATCATATCCCACCAAAGTTAGGAAAGTAGGAAAGTGGAATTTCTGGTTCATATGACTCACAGAAACCCAGCATCATGTCTCTCATGTGTCAGTTTTTGCATGATTTGTTGATAAATATGCAAATGTAGCTGCTTTTCTCACCCAAATCCAGTGCCTAATTTTTCAATTAAAATATAAAAAGGATAATTACTGGTAATTATTGAATACAGGTAGTATTGCTGCTGTATTTGTATAACTGCAATACAGTTATTAGTCTTCTGTTATAGTCAACATCTGTCTGATAGTAATTATTCATGTTGGACTGACAATTAAAGAGACCTCTCATTACCTCATATGAAGGCTTTTAGTTTTTAACCCTCCTAAATTTTCCTGCTCTGTTGCTATGCTTGTCATGCATTGAGGCAGCTTACTATGCTGAGTCTCAGACTATATATTATTAACTGACACATTTCTGATTGAGAGGACACAGCAGAAACAGATTGCCATTACTTCTCATAAGTCCATTTCACCTCAATCTTTAGGAGGCATACGTCTTGATTTCGATCTCTCTACATTCACATGTAAAATACAATTATTCCTTCATACTTTACACGTTCAAAATGGATAGAAAATTGGATAAGGTGGCTCATCATTTTTACCTTACATATTGGATTTTGCCTCTCCCATATCAAGTTTGAATTATCAGTATCTCACCAGCTGTGATTACTTTTTGGCAACAGCTCATTACATTCATTCATTCATTTCTTTAATTGAAGGTGCCCTGTGGAATTTTCTTGTTAACTAAAAAAAGTCATTACCAAAACGCACAATGTGTATCCTTGAGCTCTAACAAATGTGTTAAATGTGTTTACTTTCTCATAAAACATTTACAAAGGCATTGTTTACATCCATGTTCAAAAGCAAGCAGTCTTATTCTATCCCGCCTTGCAGGCATGCAGTCGTAGGTGAGGAGGAAGTAGAGCAGAGGACTCTCTGCCCTGTGGAACACCAGTACTCAGGACGAGAGTTGAGGAGGTGTGGTTGTCTAACCAGACGGATTGATGTCTGTTGGTTAAAAAGTCCAGTATGCAGTTGCTAAGGCAGGTGTTGATGCCCAGGTCAGGAGTTTGGTGATCAGTGTGGAGGGGATGATGGTGTTGAATGCTGAACTGATATTAATAAAAAAGCTTTCTTACATACAGTAGGTGTTCTTGGTCAGTGTGGGTGGTGGGCAGGCAATAAGGTGAGCCAGGACCAGCTTCCCAAAGCACTTCATGAAGGTGGGGGTGAGGGCAACAGGGCAGAAGTCATTACAAGGCTCACTGCAGTGGAGCATTTAGGCACCGGCACAATGTTGGTGGTTTAAAAGCATGTGTCGACAGCTGCTTGGGCCAGTGACAGGTTGAAGATGTCAGTCAGGGCCTTCGTCAGCCACCCAGGCCCCGAGGGAATGCCAACAGGGTCAACAAGCATCCTTTTTATTTTCTCTATTTGTTTGTTAGTGGGATAGTGTCAGAGGATTGACAGGGATATGTATTGCACAGCCCCTGTGCACATACATCCTTGTGCAAGTGCACAAGACAAACAAAACAGAGACTCACTCATAGAAAAAGCCATGCAGGGTCGGTCCAACAACTATCCAACTATCTGATGGATTGCCATGTCATTGTACACAGACATTCATGATCCCCAGAAGATGAATCCTACTGACATTAGTGATCCCCTGACGTATTCTAGTGCACCCTGATGTTCAAATGTGTGGTTTTAACTCATTTGTCTTGACAATTATTGGATGGATTTGGTGCACACATTCATGTTCCCCCCTCAGGATGAATCATAATAGAGTGGTGCAGGAATGAGTCCAAAAACCACAACTGAGTTAGAATTTTGCACTCCCATTCTCTTGTCTCAAAGTCGATGGGTTTCTTGAATGTTATTTTGGCTAGATGCCTGAAACAAGGTCTGTGGTTAACACAAGCTTAAGAAGCTTTCACCTTTTGTTCTGCAACATTAAATTTGTCAGTCAGTACCCCACTCATGAATATAGAAGCCTTAAAAACGACAGTTGCTAACAAGTGGCTAAATGAGACTACAAAGCATCATCATGCCAAATCACACCAAACATGGCTTTACAGCCTCCTTGTGTGGTGACCAGAAGTCATGCAACCGCGGTGTAGTTTGTTTATAGTAATGTTAGCTATTTACTTCTGGAGATTACATTAACATTAGAAACATTATTTAAGTGGTGTTCATTTGATGAACAAATGTAAGTGGCATAAACGTTTGTTAACAATTTTATTGTTCCTTTAATGTTTTATTTTAATGTATTTGTCTTGTAAAGCACATTGAATTGCCTTGTGTATGAATGGTGCTATATAAATAAAATTGTCTTGCCTTGCCTTGCCACTGAGCTTATTTTCTGTAATAATCTGAAACCAATGGAAAAATCCAGTTGGCTTTTTGTGGAGGGACGCAGAGCGACACTAACTTCCATGTTGCCCTACAAATAAATGTCATCCCTGCCGCACTCTGTAACTTTAGTGATCACTTCACTCTTTATCCGGCACCATCATCAGGTCAACATTTGATTTGTCCAATACTTTGATCAAAGACAAAATACATGCAAAACTAATAACATTCCCATGAGCCTCTGCCATACCTTGTGTTCAGTGCTAGTTAGGAGCTACCATGTCACTGTACTTAGCAGCTATATGGTAAACATTACCTCTGCTAAACATCAATATCTTAGCACTGTCATTGTGAACATGTTAGGATGCTAACATTAGCATTACTCTCAAAGCACCACTGTGCATACTTAAAGCTTCGCTGAATTGCTAGCATGGCAATGGACCATGTTGGATGATCGATTCTTACAGAGAAGACAGTGATTGCATTATCTTACATGACTGCCTTTCTTTGTCCTCTTGCAGGAAGCGCCTGTCTTGCTCAGAGTCCCTTTACATGGAGGGGGATGCGAGCCCTCCTCTTGGTGCTCGGCGACGCTTCTCAGCGCTTATGGATACACATCGTTTTGCCTCAGCCCTAGATGGTGAGCCAGACTTCCTGTCCCGCCAGGCGCCCATGAAGGTCCGTGGAACCTCACTAGATGGGACCAATGTACCCTCTCCGAGCCTCCTGGAGCAGAGGAACAGTCTGAAAGAGATCAACGGAGCAGGTGTGTTCCTTGAGGTAGTCAAAGGTTATTAGGGTGGAGAGAGGATTACAAGAGGAAGTAAGTGAGAGGGGGATAGGGATAATGGCAAAGAGCAAAGAAGACAGAGAAAGCAAGGGGGATTAAGAGTGGAGGAGGTAAAAAAAACAGCCTGTAATACCTGATTACATAACTACTGCTGAGTCAGTAGACAGCTGGACAATTCATAACATAACTGTGTTCACCTCTAGCTGCTACTGTAAAATTAAATAACTATAATTTCCACCTGACTCCACATTCTCACAGACAAATCCCCTAGACATGGAGAGACACCAGGAGCTACCACCGCCATCGCCACATTGTCCCCAGGTCCTGCAGCAGCTGGTCGTGATGTGGTGACTCCTCTGTATGACCCTCTGGGGCCCCGGGCCACCAATGACCTGGTCCTCCGCAGGGCGCGCCATCAGCATTTGTCTGGTGATAGTGAGAAACGCAGCTCCAGACCTGGAAACAAGGTCATCAAGTCAGCCTCTGCCACAGCCCTGTCTGTCATCATACCATCAGGTGAGAGGAAATAATTGAATGAAATCCTCTTGGACATATTAATTTGTGGCACACTAATACAGTATCTCATTTCTCTCTAGTGGAGCAGCATGGCGGCTTCTCTCCGCTGGCCAGCCCCATGTCTCCCCACTCTTTCTCCTCCAACCCTTCATCACGTGACTCTTCACCCAGCAGAGACTTCTGCCCAGCAGTCAGCGTGCTGCGCTCTCCCATTACCATCCATCGCTCTGGAAAGAAGTACGGCTTTACTCTCAGGGCCATCAGGGTCTACATTGGAGATAGTGATATCTACAGCGTGCATCACATTGTTTGGGTAAGAAACTTGTAGTAGTGTGTACTGTCTGATGATATTGTTTACTGGAGCTGAAGTCAGTGAAGTCTTGTGCTGTGACCTTTTTTAATGTTCAGGTGGCATTTGACAGGGATCAGTGAATTAAAAAAAACAGAATGCAAAAGCAGGTAAGATTATAGTATTATCTAAAACTGTTTAGGAGTTTGGGTTTCAGAATTCATCAATTAAGTATATTATTTCTCATCCCACTGGTGTTGTTCTATAATTACATAAATTACTAGCATCATTTATAGCTAAAAGAAAGGGAAAAAATTATTTATGCTTTCCTCTAATAAGGATAAAATAAATACTGACCTCTGAATGTTTACATCTAATTGGTTTCACCCTGTTATTAACTTGAATGTTTTGTGTTACTTGGCAGCATGTGGAGGATGGCGGTCCCGCCCAGGAAGCTGGCCTGTGTGCTGGTGACCTCATCACCCATGTCAACGGGGAGCCTGTCCATGGTCTGGTCCACACTGAAGTGGTAGAGCTCATTCTGAAGGTAGGCAGCAGTAGGCGTACCCATTCTCAATTTACTTTATATTGGTAGTATCAAAATGTATGTGTAGTTTCTATTTCTGTCAATAAAAGGGCACTTAGTTGTCTGGGGAAGGCTAATCGTGTACTTATGCAAAGTGCTTGCAGCTCCCATGTAACTCTTAGCTTGGTGGCTCTTAAGTTATTCCAAATCCACAGTTTGCTTATTAATTATGTAAATAAATGTGGCATTTTCTTGGTCAGTTTTCTGTAGGTAAATAAGCTTGACAGTAGATAATTTTAGGATCAATGAAGAAATAATTTAATGCCATCGATCTGTGCAGAGTGGAAACAAGGTGACAGTGACAACCACGCCTTTTGAGAACACCTCCATTAAAGTGGGTCCTGCCCGCAAGGCCAGCTACAAATGTAAGATGGCGCGACGAAACAAGAGGACCATGGGCAAGGACAGCCAGGAAAGGTAGGAGATTAAGCAGCTGCACCATTGCAATGACAGTCATGGTCTTTTATTATGTCACATGAAGTAAAGTACAATACAATAGTAAAAGAGTTTGTTTGTTCTGTCTTACATATAGTGCAAAATGTTCAGTAACTCTGTCTTGTCTTGTTTGTCTCAATCCATGGGACACAGGTTTTGCACATTTTAGCCCACTGATTACAATTGCTGTATACATTACATTACTAGTGACCATTTTTCTGAGCATGTAATAAGGTAAAGTTATCATGCTGCAAGTATACATATGACACTTGACACTAAGTAGGTGCAACCAAATGTAAATGGTCATTCTAACTACCTCCTTGCTTTCTGCTGGATTTGATTTTGTAACTGCATAGTTCAAGATTTTTATGCTTCTGACTGTGATGGATTATCTTGTCTCTGCAAATTGATTCTCACTGTATCTGGACGAAGCATAACATGCAAAAAATGCATGTAAAAGCAGGGCATGCTTTAGAAAGTGGTAAAAAAAAGTGCAAAATCTACAGATACAGTCCTCTAAAGTTTTTATTATGTCAATCCTATTTCAAATCAGAAATCAGAAATACTTTATTGATCCCCAGGGGGAAATTGGGACACATTACAGTTGCTCTTAGACATAGAGAAATTATATAAAATAGAATTAGAAATCAGAAGTGTGCAGGAAAAAGGTGGCATTAGGCATAGCCATTTTGCTAATATATAACACAATATGTACATATTAAGGAATAAGATAAGGAATATGTTATATAAGATGTAGGAAATGTGTAGAGATATGTGCATTGCACTATGTGTGCTAAACATAAGGTCAATAATAGAAAAGGTAGGAATTTCAGTTCTCATGTAGAGGGCTTTAAGCACTGCATATTGTACTGTTTTGTATTGAAACAGAGCAGTATTGGACGACTGAAATTATAAAGATTCAAGATTCAAGATCCTTTATTGTCATTCAGCAAATAATAAATGAGTTATGGCTTATAGCTGCTGCTGATGGGTATATTAAGTCCAGCTGCCTGAGTCTACTGACCCGGAATGTCTGACACTGAGGGAGGAGTTGTAAAGTGTGATGGCCAAAGGCAGACATGACTTCTTGTGGGACTCTGTGGTGCATCTCGGAGAAATGAGTGTTGCAATGAATATACTCCTGTGCTTGACCAGCACATGAGGGAGTGGGTGGGAGATAAATCTTACTTTCTCTTCCTGTCTTTTCTTGTCTGTCTGTCCCACAGTAAGAAGCGTAGCTCCTTGTTCCGTAAGATCACAAAGCAGTCTAATCTGCTGCACACCAGCCGCAGTCTGTCCTCTTTGAATCGCTCTCTGTCGTCCAGTGAGAGTCTTCCAGGCTCCCCAACTCACAGCTTGTCTGCCCGCTCCCCGACTCAGGGCTACCGCTCCACCCCTGAGCCCTCATACCTGGGTAGGACACTGGAAATAAACAATGCACACACAAGTGTTCAAATACAAACTTTCCTGGATCAAATCATGTCAGAAATATTTATGTGTAAACTGCACAGGAAACAACCAGACATATTTTTAGAAAATAGAATTGGGAGTTATCCAAATTTACTTCCAAAACACAACGTATTGCCAAGAAAGTGAGCTTTTAAAGCCAAGAAATTATACAAGCCCTAAAAGCCTAATTTCTCCTAACTTTTAAATCAAAAGTGTGTCTTTTCCTCTAGGATTCTTTATATCTTAATTGATCTTTTCTGTTCACTGTGTTCCTTAAGGTGCTTCCTCCCAGAGCAGCTCTCCGGCCTCCAGCACTCCAAACTCCCCCGCTCCCTCTCAGCACATGAGGCCCAGCTCTCTGCACGGCCTCTCCCCTAAACTCCACCGCCAGTATCGCTCTGCGCGTTGTAAGTCTGCAGGTAACATCCCCCTGTCCCCGCTCGCCCACACACCCTCCCCTACCCAGTCTTCACCACCACCCTTGCCTGGCCACACTGTGGGGAGCTCTAACACCACCCAGTCCTTTCCTGTCAAGCTCCACTCCTCGCCGCCGGTGGTCCGTCCCAGGCCCAAGAGTGCTGAACCCCCTCGATCGCCTCTTCTCAAACGGGTGCAGTCAGCAGAGAAGCTGGGCTCGCCTCTGACCCAGTCTAGTTCTACAGGAGGGCTGGGGGGTCCACTGAGGAAGCACAGCCTGGAGGTGCAGCACTCCGAGTACCGTAAGGATGCCTTCCTCTGTGAGCTCGGGCTCCAGAGCCTGCTAGAGACAGAAGGGGAAAATCTGCCTCCTAATGCTCCACCCCTGCCCTCATCCTCTACAAACCCAGAGACCGGTGTCTTGAAGCCTGTGAGGAGACTAGGGAGACAGGAGTCACCGCTTAGCAGGGAAACACTGCTGGCTGGGAGGGAAAAGGAAGAGAGGGAGAGAGGAAGGGAAAGGGAAAAAGAGAGGGAGACTGACAGTGGGACAGTCCTGGAGAGATTGAGCCGGGTTGGAGCAACAGCATCTCAGTCATCCTTAACAAGAAAACCTCATGCAAGTGAGCTGCCCTACAGCTCACAGGCTGGCCAGGCCTCCAGACTAAGTGGAGAAGCAACGAAAGCTACAACTTCCAGCATCCCTACCAAATCAACAGGAAGCCTATGTGGTCAGAAGGAACCTGAAAAGATCCCTGAAAGTCCAGCAGACTTAACTTCAAAACAGCAAGACCACAAAGCAGCCAAAAGTGTGTTACCTAGCAGTAAGGATCCCCAGCAACCTCTATGGGGCAGAACTGAACCAAAGCAGGAAGGAGACAACCAGAATAAGGGTTTACCTGGTGCTGCCTTCACCAAGAGCTCTCCATCTACTCCAGATAAACCCATCGGCATCAGCACGACAGTGAAAGCAAGTCCTCTGAGCATGAACAAAACCTTTAAACCATCAGGTATGGGGGACAGCCTGAGAAAGGCTGGACCAGAGAGCAGTGACTCCAGAACTCCAGACTTCGGCTCCAAAAGCCCTAAACTCCCAGCTCGCGTTCTCGCTCCAGTCGTCCCCCCACATGGGCAGCCGCTCTCACTGGGCAAGGTGAGGCAGGGACTCGGACCCGTCAACTGCTACCGGGGAACCCTTGACTGGGATGACAAATGTCGCCTGGAGGTGGTGGAGGAGCATTCGCCTTCCCCCTCTCCCTCCCCGACTGCCGTCGCCCCCTCCCTCTGCGGACCTTCTCTCTGTAAGTCGCGGCCCGTCTCCCCTGGTGACAAGACGAGCTTCGTCAGCCAGCTGACCACTGTGGCCAAAAAAGTCCTTGGGCCAATCAAGCTTGGCTCCCAGGAGGGGTCCAAGAGCAAAGACCAGCAGACTAAAGCATCGGAAGAGAGGCAGGGAGGCACAGCGGGAAAGTCTGACACTCCCGCTGGAGGTAGAGTGGTTGTTGGGGCTGCAGTGGTGACCCAAAGTCCTGCTGGTTCGCCGCTAGAGAGGGCTGCAACAGGTAGCAGCCAGTCAAAAATGTGACCCAATAGGGTCCCTAAATGGGACTTTAGTAAAAACAAACAAAAAAATGCCTTTTTTGGAAGAACAATGCAACAGAAGTCAAGCACTTAAAAACAATGTACATTCCAGTTTCAGAGTATATAAAATGTTATTTATTGATCTCAATCATCGACTGATTCTAACTTAAAACCAGGAGTGAAATAATCCACTGTAAAGGTGCATTATCTGTTGATTTTCTATTATAAAGTATTTAATAAGAAGACTCTTAATGTAATGTGGAACACTATCAGATGTATATGTGTGTGGGTCTATGTGAATGCATGTCATATGGTATGTACTGTACATGTATTATAGGTACAAGAAGGTCAAAAAGTGCTTTACTGATCAAAACATGCTGAATACTGTGAATACCAAATCCAGTCACTCTGTTTTCTTTCAACCAGCCCTTTGTTCTTTTAACTGCTTATCAGACAAGACAATGACGAACTGAGTCACACTCATATTGTAATATTTGCATCAAACAACACAACTGACACGCAGCCTCAGTTTGGCTACTAAGCAAGCAACAAGATGATTGAGCTCATTTCTTCTTCATCCAGCAGTTTACTGAGTTGTTGTGCTCAGTCAGACAAAGCCAAAGCAGGCACTCTGTCAGTGGATGTCACGTCAAGCACTGTCTAGCTCTGTCTGTCGCAAGGGATTTTCTATGTGTGTGTCTGTGTGGGTGTGTGTGTGTGAAGCCACCTTGTGTCTATTTCTGGTGGTTCTTGCAGGCTGTGTCCTTCTGCAGAGGAAAGCGTGGTTGACAGAGCTCAGGCTCAGCGCTTATCTCCCCTTCGCAGGAGGGCCACCACAGCCCTTTTCTCCCTCTGCCTCTGACTGCAGCCGATACACACAAACACATGTACACACACTCACATTGCCACAGGAGGCAGCAGTGTCAGCAGCTGATTTCCATGCATTTAAATCCAAACCCCCGTGGTCCATGAATTGGGATGCGAGTGTGTTTGCGAGTGAGTGAGTTAAGAAGTGTGCGAGTGTGTGAAAATGTGTGTCTTTTCAAGGGGTAATTACACTCAACACGCTTGACTCAGCAAGGGTCACGACAGCAACCAAACTGGAAATAAACAGGCAACAGTTAGCATCCAGGAACAGTTACAGGCTTTGCTGAAGACTCTACTACTTTATTAACACATCACACAGGCATAGTGATGATAACTTATGTGGATATAATATAAAGAAAAAGTTAAACAGTGAACCCATGTGTTGTTTTGAGCCAAAACAGGAAAAGCAGGCAGTCATGGATGTAGCATAATGTGTTTGTCAAAGGGCTCTTTAGCGAAAGTAGGGTTTGTGGATATGGGCATGGTACAATATATCACAATGAACCTGTTGCTGTAAAAACAAGGTTATCTACAATATAATCAGAATGACTGTGTTAGGTTGTTAGGTACTACAAGCTAGGTAGTCGAGATTGATTCATGTAAAGCTCACATTTTGCTATGTAATGTACTGATAAAGGTGTTTGAACCTATAATCTCAGCAAGAGTGCTGAGAAGGATAAAAAGTTCACAGGAAAAACAAGTTGTGCTCTTCTCCCACCGGTCATATTCATCTCATTAGTAGTTCATTCTCGTTAGTGTACATAATCTTATGCAAATCATTTACAGCTGTGTGTGAGGACTGCTGTCGCTATATTGCTACTTACTGATTTACATAAGAAAGTAGGGGTTAAACGATTTAATCCATCTTTGATTTGATGCGTCACTTACTAACAGTGATTTGATTAAAATGACTCTTCTCAGCTCTACAAGTGTAAACTGATTCAAGCGACAGCAACAACTTCACGCAGAGGCATAAGTTCAAAGACTGAAATTTATTTTTGTGGTATTGGCAGATTGTTTTTACATAACCAGTCATTAATATGAAAAACATTTCTTAATTCCTCTTTAATGCAATATTGGTTGATTTTAATCTATTCAAAAGGATGCTGTTCGCAATCTATCCTCAAATCTAACAACGTATGAGGGTGTTCCAAGGATTTTCCACTCACCCATTAGGAAGTCCTATGCAGTACTTGACCAACCAGTTTTTTTTTTTTAATTTGGCATTGTACTCTACTGCCCTCCAGTGGTTCAAAACACCCACTGTCAAACATGTTCCCATAAAATGTTCGTTAATAATCTGCTTGAGTTAGAATTTCTGTACTGAAGCCAAGACCACTAAAATACTGCAGAATGGATGTTATTAGCCATAGGGTTACTGAATATGCATTTATGTTTCTAATGACAAAATATTTGCAGTAATTATCAAATGAACACTTGAATCATGAATTTTATTCCTTTTCTGTTGTTGTGTTCTTCACGTGACTGTTAATTATACCTTCTGGAATTGGGATTAACATTTTTAATATAATATACTGTCTTATATATTCTACTGATAGGATGGAGGTCTTTTATATCTTGATGTAACAAATGAGTCATCTGGTCAGCTCAGATCACCTGTTTAAGAAAACTAACTGTATTGTGATCTTATACAGCTGTTATGCCCACAGGCCTTTTTCCAATCAATTGTGTCTATACTAGTGTTACATGTTTGAAAAATTCCTTTTTCTTTTTGTGATTGACAGAGAGAGTAGTATAAATGCACTTTATTTAAAAAAAAACTTCAGTTGCTGTTATTGTTTGTAAGTTACTTTGAAGAAAAAAAGAAAATATACTGTATACAAATATGGATTCTACAAATGAACACAAAAGTCAGAGTATAAAAACATTCCACATTTCTCTGTTCACTTAAAGTGTATTTATTTGTACCATGGGGCATTTTTGTTTGTGATAGATGTGATTCAAATGCAGACACCTGAAGTGCAGTATGTGGAATAAAATTCTGAGATTTGTTCCAAAACTTGCCACCTCTTACTCTTGTGTGACTGTAATCCATAATAAAAATGCTGCAGCAAGCCTTTTATTATGTTATCACGATAAACACTTTTTATGCTACATTATACATGTAGGTAATCATGATTTGAAAAACACAGTGCATGTCATAGCTGCTGTGACTATCCAATTTAGGCGAGGCATAGCAAATTTGAAGTATGGACACATCCATTCTTCAAATATGCTAAAATCCCCCCCATCACTACATATATATATGTATTTTTTTTTCTTAAAAGGTATTCTACAACAGGCAACCACACACCCCTGTCTTAAGATGATCTGTAGGAAATGCAATCATAATCATAAATATTGGGTCCCCATGGCAGCCATGACTCCATGGTTACGGCCCTGCATTTAGGTTTATCCTGGCATTGTCTGTTCTGGCTCATGTGATGGCTTACTTCCTTCCCGGATCCAGCAAGGAAGGTAAAACATGAAAGAACAATTAAAGCATTTTTCACGAGTGTTTTTTCCTGCTATAACACGTCACGTGGGAAACAGCCCTAATGAGGTCATTTTAAACCGGTGTGGATGAAAATATATATATTCATTCATATTCAACATTCATTAAAGCACCAGCCACTCATATAATCATAAATATATCGATGCAAATGCATACCATTCATTTACTATTGTATGATTTGTAGCCTAGGTTCCATATTACATAACATAAAGTTAATATTAGCCAATACCGCACTGTTAACGTCTATTACTCGACCATTATCCAATCAGCGTTCTCACAGTGATTACTTCAACCAATGGCGTTGTATCAGGAAAGGACAACAGGAAGTGAATGTCCTCTGCTGTCAAAGGGAGACGCTAAAGCGGTGGGTGGTCAGGGGAGCAAACCCCGCTATGTGTTGGATTATCTTCACCGGAGAGTCTACAAATTAGCTTGTTTATTGAATGGAGGAACCCGTACCATACTGACGTCAGCTCTGTTTTGTTGAACAGACATTAATATCTTTGGTCAGTCTGGTTTGAACATCAGGAAGCTAACGCCGGGGGCTAGCGTCTAAAAATGCTAACGCTAGCTAGCTTTAGCAAGCTGGTACATTAAATTTATTCGTGAGGAAAGCAGCTGTGGATGAAGACAGAGGAAATCGCTGAAATGGGTCAAAACACTGCAATGTATCGACCAGCTTAACCGGCTTTTACCACAGGTACGTAGTTACTAGCAAGGGAATCTTTGATTGTAGGTGTAAAAGCTAATTTTAAAGGCGGTGTAACGCTATGGCAATCACTCGATTACTAGGTTTTGATGTTAAGTTGGCAGAAAAATGTATTGTTTATTATATAGGGACCTAACAAATACACTGAAGTTACTGTGAGCTTGTTGGTCATAAAATATGTTGACTCGCTTACACTCATTACCAGAGTCGTGACAGATTGACGTCTGTCTGCGGCGAGTAATTGCTTTAGGTGTAACTGCTGATCTGCAATGAGGAATGATGACAACCACCGTAATCAGATGACTTTCACAGTTGCTTAAAAAGCCCGACATGCCGGTTGTCAAATGCAAATCACATGACACAAAAATGCCCATCAGTGTAATCAGTGACTACACACCGTGCTCCTGTTCCCTGTTGAAACTACTACTCATCAGTTTCAGGTCAGGGTGGAAAAGTCACTGGTAATTTCCTTTGTGTGCTATGCGTTGTGAAAACAGTAGTTGAAGACAGATGACTTAAGTTGACAGTGACAGCGTTGTATTTATTTATATTTTTCAGGAAGTGATTACTTTGCCTGCAGACTTGTTTAGTGCTGTTTTCCTTAACAGTACAATGAAACCATGTGGGCTTAAAGTATGAAATGTATACCTTTGGAAATGTAGTTTGTCTAAAACCTCTTGACTTACAGTCTACTTACTAGCCTTTTCTGGTTCTTTGAACTAAGGGTGTAAGTTGCAATTATTTCATTATTGATTACTTTGCAGGGGATTAATCTGCCTCAGAGAGGTTTACAATCTATATAAAACCACAAAACCTTTAACAGGAAGAAAAGAGAAAAGAAACCACAGGACGATATACAGAGGAGGATCTTTCTTCCAGGACAGACATGCAGTATATGTTCTATACAGTGGCCAACATTAGACATTAGGTTAAACAAACATTTACTTGAGTAAATATTAAGTGTCAGTTAAAGAGTTTCAGGCAGAGTGTAAAAAATGTTTGGTGTGAATAATGTGTACACATGCCTGTTTCTCCATTATCAGTTCTGTGTTGCAATGAGGAGCACCAGAGTGCAGCTCTGAGACTCAGAGGCATGAACTCCGTTTCCCCCAGCGCGGTACAGTACGTAGGGGGAGTCATGCAGGATGAGCTGGTGGACAGCCGGAGGCAGCAGCCCCTGGAGCGGCAGGGCAGCTTTGGTCTCAGGCTGCCTCAGACTCCAGATCCCAGCAGAGAGGCAACCGGAGAGCCTGATGAGATGGACAAACTGAAAGCCAAACTGATGTCAGCATGGAACAATGTCAAATATGGTTTGTACTTAATCTTGGAGGAGGAGTGTGCTGGTGTTTCTGTCTTGTTCTATGTCTTGTATTTTATGGTCAGCATGCTGCAAAACAATATGACTAACTTTTTTCAAAGCCTCTATTAGCCTTCTCCATCTGCTACTTTGCCAACATTCATTTTCCCTCTTCCTCTTTCTGTAGGTTGGACTGTAAAGTCTAAAACCTCCTTCAACAAGATCTCACCGGTCACCGTCCTGGGACACTCCTATCTGCTCAACAGTGAAGGTAAGCTCTAAACACACAAACATATCTTAAGAATCTCAAGGTTGATCCCTTTCTTATCAAAAGTCCCTGTTAGAGGCTGTGTTTCTTTTCTAGAAATAGACTCCAGGTGGTGTAGTGATGTGTGTTTTGGTTAACCACGGTGGAGTAAACCCTTTTCCTTTGAAAGGTTGCTGAGTTTACATCAGCGAACACAAAGCAGTAGACAAAAAATAAAAGTGAACTGATCTGTCTCATGTCAGATAAACATGAGATACAATTCATAAACAGTTTGAATCAACACGGTGTAAGAGTTCTCTTCCTTTTTCCTCTGTCTCGTCTTCCACCCCTTCACCTCTTCATAGATGAGGTGGAGCGGTTTCGTCTGGCTTTTGTGTCCAGGATTTGGCTGACCTACAGGAGGGAGTTCCCTCAGCTGGAGGGCTCCACCTGGACCACAGACTGTGGCTGGGGCTGTATGCTGCGCAGTGGACAGATGCTGCTGGCACAGGGGCTTCTGGTCCATTTGATGCCCAGAGGTTTGTCTCTCTCACAGTTACACAGTTTTACCTTCACCCACAAAAAATACAGGTAAAGGTTCCTCAAAGGAGCACTATATGTGAGCCAAACAGGATCTTTTGAAAAAGCTGGCTGATCTTGTTTTTTCAGTGAAACGGATCCATTTATCCGTCAGTAGTGTGACACGCATAACCTTCTCTCTGACGAAAGGAAGTGCTCTTTTAAACTGAAAGGACTGTTCATATTTCCTAAGCTTTACTTCTCCTGATTTATTTTGGTTTCTTTTCATTGCAGAGAGTTTTTGTCTCATGACACCGTTGTTTTCTCTTCTGCTCCATTTCAGTCTTTCTTTTTAGAACATTTTTCTTATTGTGTCCATGCTTATTGTTACGGCATTCAAAAGATGTCTACTCTCCGATTGTTTAAAGCTAAAGACTGAAGAAATTCCAGAAAAAAACTTTGCCCAGATCTTAAGCTTGTCTGTACTTAATTGCTTAGTTTAAGCCTTTGTGTATTTTGCAGATTGGGCTTGGCCAGATGCTCAGCAGCTAACCGATGTGGACTTTGAGGTGTTCAGACCGCGTTCTCCAGTGCGAGCTGGTGGGGTCCCCATTCCCTCCTTTGGCTCTCCACGAGGATCCAACACCCCTGAAAAGTCCCTGACGAGTGATCAGGCACCCAGATGCAGCCAGAGGAAGAGGCCTGAGTCTGTTAGGGACAGGCAGGCAGAGCCCATCCACCACAAGCTGGTCACCTGGTTTGGGGATCAGCCCCCAGCACCTTTTGGGCTTCACCAGCTGGTGGAAATTGGCAAAAGTTCAGGGAAGAAGGCTGGTGACTGGTATGGCCCCTCTATAGTGGCACACATACTACGGTAAGGGCGCTGTAAGAGTTACAAGCAGGATTTACTATTTTCTTCAATGAGTTACAAACTTAAGAATTTATTTGATAATGGTTGTTTGTTTGTTTTTTCAGGAAAGCAGTAGCCAAAACCTCTGTGCTCCACAACCTGGCTGTGTATGTGGCTCAGGATTGTACAGGTGAGATTACCAGACTAGAAATCTGTTGAATTTAATAATTATTCTTTGTGAGAGCCTAGTTCAGATGTATCAGTATGTTTATTGCTTTGCTCCAAAATGTATTCTTTCAGAAATATCTAAAGAAGTCTTTTTTTCTTGTCATGTTTCTATGCACTGCAGTATACAAAGAAGATGTGGTGCATTTGTGTGACATATCTCTAAGCCAGGCTCCCCCTGATCCGTCCAGCCAAGCCTGGAAGTCTGTCATCATACTGGTGCCTGTACGGCTGGGAGGGGAGGCCCTCAACCCGTCCTACATCGAATGTGTCAAGGTCTGAATATTCTGCCTCCACATCACCCATCCATTGACCCCTCTGTGCTCACCCAACTTCATAAAAAAATTTGTGTTGTTCTCTGAAGAAAAGGAAAAAAGCCTGCACACTGCTCCAAGTCACAACGTTTTGATCGACGTTGTGACTTGGAGCAGTGTGCAGGCTTTTTTCCTTTTCTTTGATGCTTGTTGACAGCCTTGCACCTACCGGTGATGTGTGTATATATCCTCCTCCTCTACTGAAGTTAAGTTCTCTCCCATATCTCTTTACTCATTTAAACATCTGTGTTCATCTCCAGAACATCCTCAAGCTGGATTGTTGTATTGGAATCATCGGAGGCAAACCGAAGCATTCACTTTACTTCGTTGGCTTCCAAGGTGAG